CGATTGAGCAAACAATGCCCTATAAGGAGTTGTGATGCCGGCCGGAATCAAGAATATAAGTGCAGGAGACGCAAATAAAAAAACGACAGCAAGGAAGTAAAAGCAGGGAAAAAATAAGACAGCAAAATAACTTTTTTTCTTCTTCCTCTTTTGCTACTCCTGTCCATACATATATAGTCTCATCTAGATAATGTCTCACATGTCACTAACGGTAGATAGGCTCCGTTGACCAACCAAACCATAATAAACAGAATATGCTCTAGGCATCAATAAGCACTATATTCCTTAATTAATTAATATCTAATGCAATCCTTGAGTCTAGCGGGTTCCTTCCTCACACGCTGGTTCCTTTGTATTGCAACATTCGCCCCCTCTTGGACTACAACCTTGTCCTCAAGGTTGAAATCAGGGAAATCATGCTGAAAATCAACCACAGACTCCCACGTTGCATCGCATTCCGGCTGCTTTTGCCATTGTACTAGGATCTGGGGCACCATATGGCCTTGCTGGAGAACTCGACGAGTGCCTAATATCTGGGCCGGAAGCAGCAAAGGACGATCATCAATAAACTCCAGAGGTAACGGGTTAGTTGTCCCTGCCGTATCAACTAGAGCCTTTGTCAGCAATGATACATGGAAAACATTGTGTATCTTGGCTGTTGGAGGAAGCTGCAGGCGGTATGCAACTTTGCCAATTCTTTCAGTGACGCGGAAGGGGCCGTAGAAGCGCTTGGCAAGCTTCTGAGACTGTCGGTGAGCTAATGATGACTGGCGATAGGGTTGCAACTTCAACCAAACGATGTCGCCAACCTGGAATGTAACGTCTGTGCGCCGGCTATTGGCTTGGTTGCGCATTCTGTTTTGGGCGCGCTAAAGATTGGTCTTGAGCTGAGCAATGAGGGCAGTGCGTTGAGTGAGGATGTCGTCCACGGAGGCAACAGCCGCCGACCCACCAACATAATCCAACAAAGAAGGGGGAGAACGCCCAAAAATAGCTTCAAAGGGGGTCATTTTTATGGCTGAATGCCAGGCGGTATTATAATGCCACTCGGCCCAGGGGAGAAATTTCAGCCATTGCTTAGGTTGACTTGCGACAAAACAGCGCAAATAATCCTCTAAATAGCGGTTAAGGGCCTCAGATTGACCGTCCGTTTGGGGGTGGTATGCACTACTGGTCGCTAAAGTCGTGCCTTGTAATCTAAACAGCTCGTGCCAAAAATGACTCATAAAGACAGGGTCACGATCCGAAACAATAACAGATGGAAAACCATGTAATTTAGCCACGTCTTGTACAAATACCTCAGCCACTTGGGCAGCAGAAAGATGGGTATTTAAGGCTGAAAAATGAGCATGCATAGACAGACGATCAATGACAACAATGATAACAGTTTTACCGGACACCGCAGGGAGATGCGTGATGAAATCCATGGCAATCTCATCCCATATTTTGCCTGGAATTGGAAGGGGTTGGAGAAGGCCTTGTGGTGCTTGATGGAACGGTTTTGTAGCTTGGCATATGGTACAGCGAGCAACGTAATTCTTCACTGAAGCTCGCATCTGAGGCCAATAAAAAACAGCAGCAATGCGGTTAAGTGTGCGTTGCACGCCGGCGTGGCCCCCTACTGGGGAGTTGTGCAATTCCGCTAAGATCAATGGTTGAAAACCTGACTCGGGAGGTATGACTGCCCGATCCTTGAAGAATAGTAGGCCATCTCGAATGCGATAATGTGGAAACTTAGAGGGTTCAGCTTGGATATCCGTCAATACTTGGGAAGCTAACGGATTCGTGGAGTAAAATTCCTTGAGGTCCGGCCAGAGAGCTAAGATTGGTTGGGATGCAGTCATTGCCGAGAGGAAGGCCTCTGAGGAGTGGCGAGACAGAGCATCCGCTGGTCCATTCTCAGTTCCCGGTTTATACTCAATGTCAAAATCAAATCCGAGTAGCTTGGTGATCCACCTTTGTTGTTCTGGAGTTTGAATTGTCTGGTGAAGCATGGAGCGGAGACTTTTGTGATCGGTTTGGATGACAAACCGCCGACCAAGAAGGTATTGGCGCCATTTGCGGACTGCTTCAGTGATGGCATACATCTCACACACATAAGTGGAAGAAGCTTGCAACCGGGGTGAAAGTTGTTTACTAAAGAAGGCCAGAGGGTGACCATTCTGGGTGAGGACAGCACCTACCCCCATTCCCGAGGCGTCTGTTTGAATCACAAAGGGCTGGGAGAAATTTGGCAGGGATAATACTGGGGGTTGGAGCATGGCTTGTTTCAAAGCTTCGAATGCTCCGGTAGCTTCAGCAGACCAGATAAATGCCTGTTTACACAATAATTGGGTTAGAGGAGCTGTGAGGGTAGCATAATTCTTGATAAAGCGCCGGTAGTAGCCCGTGAGTCCCAAAAACCCGCGTAACTGTTTCACCGTGCTAGGTAAAGGCCAATTCTGGATTGCAGATAACTTCTCCGGATCGGCCGAAACGCCATTAGCAGTAATAACATGGCCCAGGTAGTGGATTGTTGTGCAGCCAAATTCACACTTAGAGAGTTTAGCAACTAAGGAATGTTGTGACAGAAGGGAAAACACGATGTGAAGATGTTGGAGATGGGCCTCCCACGATTTGCTATACACCAAGATATCGTCAAAAAACACAATCACAAAGCGACGGAGCACCGACTTAAAACGGTGTTCATCAATGCCTGAAAAGTGGAGGGGGCATTGGAGAGGCCAAACGGCATTACCAAAAATTCATAGTGACCTTCGCGTGTCCGGAAGGCCGTCTTCTCGACGTCGGCAGGATGGATACGTACCTGATGATAACCGGCGAGAAGGTCGATTTTGGAAAAAACTCGGGCACCGAAAAGCTCATCCAAAAGCTCATCCACAGTCGGAATTGGGAATCGATCTTTGATGGTGACTGCGTTGAGGGCCCGATAATCTGCGCAAAAGCGCCACGAGCCGTCTTTCTTCTTGGTCAATAAGACTAGGGCCGAATAAGGGCCACAACTGGGATGAATAAGACCCCCTGAAAGCATATTGCCGACAAGGCGTTCCAACTCCGTTTTCTGGAAGTGGGGATAGCGATAAGGTTTAACGTTGACCGGAGCTGTATTGGGAAGGAGGGGAATCCGGTGATCGGTGTCCCGGGCTGGGGGAAGGCCGGAAGGCGGTTGGAAGATGGTACCAAATTGTTGGCATAAGGTTTGAAGGTTGGTGGTGAAGGAAGACGGTGCAATTGGGTTGATGGGTTGGGAAGCAGGCGGGTTGTCTGGGTGGTAAGTAATGCTAAGATGAAAATATTGAAGCATCATGGGCTTCAGTTCCCCTTTTTACTGTGCTAGTAAGGATTAAAGAAATAGAAGGCTGAGTTAAGCCCACCTGCCGAGTAGGATTACCTTGGTATTGAAATTCCATCCACAAGTGTTTGTAATCAAACCAAATGGGCCCAAGTTCCGCTAGCCACTGGACACCCAAAACGACATCCGCCCCAAAAATTGGTAATACAAACAGATCCACTGTGAAGTGGGCCTTGTCCAGACCGAGATCGATTTGGCGACAAATTCCGACACATCCCAAGGTGTCTCCGTTCCCCACTGTTACGCGCAAATGGGAAGATGCTTGTACGGTCAAACCCAAATGTTGGGCAAGACGAGATTGGATGAAGTTGTGGGTGGATCCACCGTCAATCAGAACCACGACATCCTTGCCCTTAATCGAGCCGGCGAGTTTCAGAGTAGAGGGCACCGCCTGTCCGGTCAGAGCATGGAAGGAGATCTGGGGTTCGGTTTCCGGCAGGAGTTCGGGCGGGGATGTGATGGAACCTTCTGTGTCAGGAGACTCCGGTGGCTCCTCATCGTTGTCGGCTAGAAAGCAGAGAAACAGAGCCGGTTTACAGCGATGTCCAGGTGAGAACGCTTCGTCACAATTGTAGCACAAGCCTTTGGCACGGCGGGCCGCCATTTCTCCCGCCGTCAGCCGCCGGATGGGAAGATTTTTGGGGTTAAAGGGTTTGGGGCTGGAGGAGGAGGGAGTAGGTGATGATGGTGGCGGCGGGGAATAGGCTTTTGCTGAAAGCGGGCGGGGCAAAAAAACCCGACCCGCGTTGCATTTATCCTCAATTAATTTGGCCATGCCCATAGCTTGCTGCAAGGATGTGGGATTGAGAAGAGAGAGCTCCCTCTGGATGTCTTCTCATAGTCCCGAGATAAAGCAATTAAGGAGGTTGTCGGTGCTTAAGCCGGAGGTAAGGGTTGAGATGGCTTCAAACTGACCCAGGTAATGGGCAACAGACGAAGTTTGCCGGAGCTTATATAGCTGAGCTTCGTGGTTAATAAATTGTGACGGTCCAAACCGAAGTTCAAGCTGTTGAGTGAAATTCTCCCATGTAGACAGTTGATTGGTTGTGTATAACCAATGGAACCACTGCAAAGCAGGGCCAGACATGTAAAAGGCTGCGATTTGGAGGCGTTGATCAGGGGGAGTGGAGTGAAAGGTAAAGAAATGGTTGATCTGGAACAACCAACCCCGGGGATTGTCACCGGTAAAAAGGGGAATTTCAAGTTTAGGGAGCTTGGGGGAGGTAACGGAGGTTAGATCTGGGAAAGGTGGTGGGGAGTACTGTGAAGGCCCCGTCGGAAAAAACAATCGGGGCCGGAAGGGGGGCATCGGTGGTGTAGATCTGGATGTTGGTATGGGTGGTGGCGGCGGAGGGGGTGGTGGCGGCAGAGATGGAGAACGGGCTAGTAATTCAGCAAGGGTGGCCTGAATGGTTTGGAGAGTGGTTGAGTGATTAGAGATCTGATCTTGCAACTGTTGCAGATTTGCAGGTACCATATTGGGTTTTGGGTGTTCTTCGGTGGCTTTGGAGCGAGTATTGTGCTTGCCGTCGACCATGGTGGAGTAAGACTCAAAGAAAGCACCAATTGATGCCGGCCGGAATCAAGAATATAAGTGCAGGAGACGCAAATAAAAAAACGACAGCAAGGAAGTAAAAGCAGGGAAAAAATAAGACAGCAAAATAACTTTTTTTCTTCTTCCTCTTTTGCTACTCCTGTCCATACATATATAGTCTCATCTAGATAATGTCTCACATGTCACTAACGGTAGATAGGCTCCGTTGACCAACCAAATCATAATAAACAGAATATGCTCTAGGCATCAATAAGCACTATATTCCTTAATTAATTAATATCTAATGCAATCCTTGAGTCTAGCGGGTTCCTTCCTCACACGCTGGTTCCTTTGTATTGCAACAAGTTGTACGTTTGCACATGATGTGTTTGATTACCCCAATCACTGCATTGCATCCCTTTCCAAACAGATTTGCCTTATTAAACTTTTCAACCACGGTTGCCCCTTTACATTGATGACTCTACCATTGTCAGGTTCCTCAAGAGTTCCTCAGCAAGACTATTTGAAGCTAGTTCATTTTGATCTATACCATCTTCTTCAACAGCTACAGTTGACTGAGGTTCCCGTGAATCTAGTGGCAATCCATTTTCAGTCATTTGAACAGCAGTATACAACTTTAGCAGACCGTTTGGTGACAGTATCACACCAACTTGCGGCATACAGTAACATTGGTTTGAGCAACAGCATTATGTGGACATGTTACAAAACCATTTGAGCAACTGGATACCCATTATGCCATCCATAAACCAGGGTACCAATTCAACAGTATACAGATTCATTAATCCTGGTGGCTCTAGGTCACCTGTATCCCCCATTATGTTCAGTACCATGATAAAATGTTATACTGCCAGAAACTCGATATCTAGAGCTATAAATCGAATGGCTGTCCTGAGCAGTCTTGATTAGAATCTCTCCCTAAAATCACTACAAACCAGCAGGTTCACAGCCAAATATAAATAGCTTCAACGATCTAATCATACATGTTAACCAATAATGATAGGATTGGGGACCTGAACATCGATCCAACAAGCAATACTAGAAAGTCCAAAAATCAAACTCTGTGAAATGAGATTCAATGTTAAGCAATGAAACCAATACAAAACTTTGAAAAATCGATAAATTTCCACTAACTGAAAACAACATGAAAAGCCTCTAGATGATGCTATTTCCAGAACTGTAAACGAGAGATTTTAATCAGAAAGCTAGTAACTTCCAAGAATTCCAAGAAATACAGAGAACCACAACAAGAACCACATACAATTAGAATCTGTGAGCCTGGGGGCGGGGGTATGTGCCACCCAACCAAAGACTTACAAACAGTGATTAACATGAGTATCACAGTCACAAGGCTTTCTAGGCCATAATATAGTTCGATTGACGTCATTACATGAGACCCATCATGGTCTGAATAACGGACCAAAGTCAATTGGATGAAAACCAAAAATCATTACCCACTCAAATCTGAAACAATAACCAAAATTTTTAATCTTCATAGCCAATCCAACATCTGAAAACGGGAAGTGCCTACCAACAGAACATTCGTTTACATATCACTTATTGAAGTCATTTCTACTTTTAGTGAGAAGCCGGGATGAGCTTTGTTTGTCAAACTTTGTAAACTGCAACAAAATTTATATAATCTTTTTGCTGACAGGGATAATAAGATGAAATGTACAAAGATATTTGCCATTTTTTCCAATTAACAACTAAATAATAACTTCAAGTAACTTTTGCTCAAGCTATAGAAGACCAAAAAATAAAAAATAAAAATTGGAATATATTGGAATGGTGCTAGACTTAAATATAACAAAAGAAGTTTACAAATTAATAGACTTTGATACCCATGATAGAAAACAATAAACACAAAAAAAAACTGCCATTTTGACATCAGGAAACAAAAAAGATGGGCCTTAGTTACATTCAAATATAAATTTAAGATGAATTTAGTCGCAAATACTGCCTCATTCAATGGCTGGATTCGCCAGAAGGGAGAAACAAAAAGAAAATGATAGTCATCTTTCCTAAAAAGAATAACTTGAGCAGGAAACCTAGTAACACCACCTTTGCATTCTGTCATAGAATGAGTTACCATTTGCAATCACAATAATGACATAAGATAAGGATCACCATAGAACCAATGCATGAAAATAAAAGCTGCATATCCAAAATACTACACAAATTTTGTCAAACTTTGTTTGGAATATTCAACTGAGTCACGCTTCTATAACAGGAAGGTTATTGTGCAAAGAACATACAAAACAAACTGAAACACCAGGCCACCTCAGCGCATACCTATTGAGCTGCATCTTCAGAAAACCTTGCATCAAAAGGAGCTGGAGAATGGGAGTGTGAAGAAGCAGCAGCATTTCCTGACCCCTGCTGAAGTTCAAGTACGAGCCATCTGACAGCTTTACTCATCTGCTCCAGCCGAACTGCACTTATCGGAGGAAGCCCACTCGAGGCGGCCTGCCCTGGGTTCCCAGTAACAGAACCAGTGGCCTCATCGACAAGGCACTCGGAACCTATTCTCTGTTTCACAGACTCCACAAACTCCTCAGCTTGATCACAGGCAACTCTAAACAGTTCCCAACGCTGCTTAAAGTTTTCCAAAGCTGCATCTGTAGCCGGTGTTTTCTGACCCTCAGAGCTAGCCTTAGCTTCAAGTACATTTGCAGTTGCAGCAACAAATTCTTGATATGCATTATTCAGATTGTCCACAATATTGTCCATCTGTACGATAAATTATCACATTTCAACCTCACAGACATAACAAGCCAAATATGAAGTTTTTACAGGCAGAATATGCCAGCACTATCAACTTCTAGATTTCATGACTTAGGTAGAATCCATTATATTTTCGTTTATCTTACTAATTGGATTGGTCAAGGAAAATATTATCTTCAATCAACCCTTGAACTTGAGACCCCAATCAAATGCAACAGAGATAAAGAACAGAACACAATTTATGAGAGCTTGGATTGCTGAAATGCATGAATCAACCTGGTTACCTTGAACCGCAGTGAAAAAAAAAAAGTGATTCAATAAATTATCCATCTCATGAATAAAACAGAAATTTCAAGATGGAAATACAATCAGCTACGTTTTATAAAAATTACAAAGATGAAAATATTTATGCTTGATAAATTGAAGGATAATCAAAATTCCCACATCCTACCCAGGAAAACTTCTTATGATGACGAGATACACATAAGCCTAAGACAACTGCTTTAATATGATAATCAACTCCTACCATCGGAAAAAACACGAAAATTCACCCGAGCTCTTGTACTGGAAGAACGAACTTTATCCTCAACCGATATACACAATTCGAAATTCCCAACTCAATAATCTTATATCTAACAAGTTGCAAATACTCTTCGACCAAAGCAAATTATTTTCCAATGCCATACCTTTTGTTACGGGACGGGTCAGAGCTGAATCAGCGTGAGAGCTGCCGGAGGTGGTGGTGGTGGTGGTCGTGGTGTGGCAATGGTAGTGGATTCAGCGACGGAGATAGTCTCCAATTCCGGTAGATGGAATGAATGGAGAGCCAAATTAGGGTCAAATTCTGGAATTAGGTCACGTTCAATATGGGAAATCGGGAATGAAGGAATTTGGGAATTGAGAAGAAGGCGGTAGAATTTCTAAAATTATTCCAATTGGGGGCAAATCAAATGCCTTTATATAAGAGAAAAGCGCGATTAGACGCCGCCGTTTAAAAGCGAACCTCTTGATATTTAAGTTGAACTGGTCAATTTCTAGCAGCAACGTTTAAATTTCCCTGGGAAATTTGTTGCTTTTCTGGTTCTTCTTCAATTCTCTTTACTGGGAAAAATTAGCGGATCTACTCAAAGTTTTAGGAAAAAATGTCGTTCCTACTCAAAACTTTGCCCCCGTCGTCAATCATACCCAATAGATTTTCGATCAGTCACCTTTACCCTAATGTTTGAAATTTTCGCTAATTTTGTCCAATCGGCCTATTTTTCGTCCAAATTAACGGATCTCCGTTAGATTTTTAATAAAATAATAAATTTAAATACAAAAACACCCCATTAGTTTGTAAAAATTTTAAAATAATCCCTAAAATATATAAAAATAACAAAATAGTCCCTCTATTTTGTTCCATTTCTCTCAACTACTTTTAATGACCATAAAAATATATTATATCAGTTTTAAGAAAATATTTATTTATTTCTAAAATCTACTGTAAAAGTTAATCTTTGTATAGTTGTAACCCATGATTGTATTTCTATAAGCATGTTAATTTTTTTAATAATATAGTTTAGCAATAAAGATACTATTTTTTTTATTTATTTTGTTCTTCCTAACGTAAAGATTAAAAATATTTAAAAGAAAAAATATTCCACATAAAAATAAAATATTAGCTAAAATAAAAATTAATATATCAGTATAATTTGGTGTATTACAATTTAACTAGAGAGACTACATGGCATAATATAATTTAGAAAAAATGTTTATACTTATCAATGTGAGGATTTAATATTTTGTAATAATTATTTGAGATGTTAATATATTTAACTAAGAGGAAGTCTTACTAGCTTATTCTATATGATTTTAGTTTAAAATAAATGAATGGAGGTAAAAATATGATAATAAGATGTTGTGATAGAAAATAGGTTTTAGATTCAAGAAGGAAAACTTATGTATGGAGGATTTGTTTTAAGATTTTAATTAGTTTATATTTTAGTTATTTTATTATGAATTATATTAATGCAAGTTATAGTCTCCTGAGTTAAATTGTAATACATTAAAATATCTTAATATTTTTTTATTTGAGCTAATATTTTATTTTTATGTCGAATATTAGTTTCATTTAGATGTTTTTAATCTTTATGTTAGGAAGAATAAAATAAATCAGAAAAATAGTGTCTTAATTATTTTATATTTTATTTATCTTTTTATGAAGTATATTAATGCAAGTTATAGTCTCTTGAGTTAAATTTCATTATACTAAAATATATTAATATTTTTTATTTGAGCTAATATTTTATTATGTGAAATATTAGTGTCATTTAAATGTTTTTAATCTTTACGTTTGGAAAAATAAAATAAATCAGAAAAATAGTGTCTTTATTGCTAAAATATATTATTAAAAAAATTAACATGCTTATAGAAATACAATCATGGGTTACAACAATACAAAGATTAATTTTTACGGTAGAGTTTGAAAATAAATAAATATTTTTTTAAAAAAACTCATATAATATATTTTTATGGTCATTAAAAGTAGTTGAGAGAAATGGAACAAAATAGAGAAAATGAAATAAAAAAGTGAAAAGGGACAATTTTGTTATTTTTATATATTTTATGGATTATTTTTAAAATTTGTACAAACTACTGGGGTGTTTTTGTAATTAAATTTATTATTTTATTAAAAAACTAACGGAGATCCGTTAATTTGGATGGAAAATGGACCGATTGGACGAAATTGGCAAAAATTTCAAACATTAGGGTAAAGTTGACTAACCGAAAATCTATTGGGTATGATTGACGACGAGGGCAAAGCTTTGAGTAGGAACGACATTTTTTTCCAAAGTTTTATATTCTTCGTCAATTCTACCTTATTCTTTTTTGTTAGTCAATATTACCCTAAACTATCCAACCGTTAGCCGATTTTGTCCAATTTGCTATTTTCCGTCTAAATTAACGGAATTCTATTTATTTTAATTATAAAAACACTCTAATAGTTTTAAAAATTTATAAAAATGATCCCAAAAATTTACAGAAATTATAAAATAGTCTATTTTAAGTTTTTATTTAAAATTTTCTGTTTTTTATTTCTTTTTATTATTTTTCATAACTATAAAAATATACTATATGATCTTTTTTAAAAAAAATTATTTTTAAACTTTAATGTACAAATTGTTAATTACATATTTGTATGTCATGTTTGATTTACATAAGCATATTAATTTTTTAATAATATGATTTTACAATAATGGTACTATTTTTTAATCTATTTTTTCAATCTAAAGAATAAGATTATTTAACTAATACTAATTTTTCACAAAAAAATTAAACAATTCGCATAGATTAAAAAAGAATCTATTGGTATACTTTAATGTATTACAATTTAATTCAACTGACTTTAGATTGTATTTTAAAATTTAAAAAGAAATCAAAACTAAAATATAAATTTTTTTTAAAGGCCAAGTACAGACAGAAAGTTAAAAAAAAAAAACTTATTTCATTTCTACGTTGGCCCAACACAAGAATATAGTGTCGTGGGATTTACAAAAATGGCAAAATATTTTATAAAAAATATTTATATTTATTACTGCGAGGGTTTAACATTTTGTGATAATGTTTTGAGAATTAATATATCTAACTTTAGCAGGAAGTCTTTTTTTAAAAAAAATAAAAAAAAAAATATATACTCCAGTACTGGACTCCACCTTTTTTTTACATTAAAAAAAAATTAGATTTCTCCAGTGAGAATCGAACCTTGAAAACAGTTTTAATCATCTCATATCTTAAATCACATAACCATCCAATGCAACCCTCTTACCTTTAGTGGACCCCGCTTAAACGTGGGAAAAATCACTCTCCCGGTTAGAAATACTTTGGTGACAATTAATCTTATATCTACTCTTATTAAACTTAACACCTTAAACACTAGACAATACCCTATATTTTAATTTAATAATTTTTTTAATTGGATAATACAATCTATAGTCTATTTAGTTAATTTGAAATAAATTAAAATGTACTAATATATATTTTTTTAATCTATGCTAAATGTTTTTATTTTTTGTAAAAAATTAGTTTTAGTCAAAAAAATCTTATTCTTTAAATTGAAAAAGACGGATTAAAAGAATAATATCATTATTGTCTGGCCATATTATTAAAAAAAATTAATATGTTTATGTTAATCAATCATGAGTTACAAAATGTATATCTATCAATTTGCACTGTAGTGTTTAAAAATAAATTATTTATTTAAAAGATTATATAGTATATTTTTGTGGTTATGAAAAATAGAAAAAAGAAATTAAAAAAAAAGAAAAATTTAAATAAAAACTGAAAAAAGACTATTTTGTAATTTTTGTAAATTTTTGAGGTTTTTTTATAAATTTTTAAAACTATTAGGGTATTTTTGTAATTAAATAAATAGAATTCCGTTAATTTAGACGGAAAATAGCAAATTGGACAAAATCGGCTAACGGTTAAATAGTTTAGGGTAATATTGGATAACTAAAAAAGAATAAGGCAGAATTGACTACGCATGTAAAGCTTTAGGTAGATCCGCCAATTTTTTCCTCTTTACTGTTGTAGTTTCTTCTCTCGTTGGTTAAATTCTGCAACGTAATTAAGTTTTTATGGACCAGCATTTGTATTTGAGATCAAAACCCGACAGTGACAATGGCGGAGAACGAAGCCCTTGTGGCAAATTGAACTTGAATCCAAGGAATCAGAGGCCGGGGCGAATTCAGACCCTAAAGTACGAGAGCATTTCAGTCAATAGATGAGGTTCAATCCGTTGCTTACCGTTCCAGAAGAATGGGATGAATGAGAGGTAATTTTATTGATTATTCTGGGAAACAAATGGATAGGAAATGATTTTCAACTATGACTATGAAGATGAAGATGTTGATACGAACGTGAAACTGAATACTAATTGCTTGATTGTTGTTCTGACTGAAATATCAACCCTTCTGTATTGTGCATTGATAATATCTGCTTCATCGAGGTTTTTAGTCCTGTAATGTTGTTGTGGTATCCTTTAGTCCTGCTCCAGATGATGTAGAGGATTTTTCTCTGCCTCCATCTACTTTACTGGAAAAGACGGGTCTTTTTGGTTGCTTCATGGCTATTGTTTCTGTTCTAAGCATCTAAGAAATGTCCAGCATGGTAGGTCTATCCATGGGATCTTGTTGAACACACTGAAGTGCAATGTGAAGGCATGTCATTAATTTGCATGAGGAAGTAGCGTCATTGAGTGATTCATCTAGAGATTCTTGTCCTTTGTCATTTCTCCACAGCTCATGTGCCTGTAATATTGACAGCTTAAAGTTTAGATGTGAGACGATGACAGCTTGATTAAGATTTGCTTTTAGGAACATGTTGTGAAAATCAGACTAACATTTTCCAAGAGGGTTAAGTTTGATTCCCGGCCATAAAAACATGTGTTTTTCTTCCCGCTGATGATTTGAAGTAGTAACCCCCCAAAGCTAAAAACATCGGATTTCGTGGAATAAATGCCCTCTTGTACATATTCAGGTGGACTGTAACCACTGCAGCGTAGATAAACAGAAACCTTTTAGCATCTCAGGAGAAACTGTTAATGATGTTGCTTGTAGAGTAAGTTTACTTACTAGGTTCCAACTATTCGGTCAGTATTTGCTTCAACTATGTCCTTCTGGAATATTTTTGCCATCCCAAAAGCTGCTATCTTGGGTTTCATCTGGCTGTCCAGTAAAATATTGCTTGCTTTTAGATCTCTATGAATTACTGTTAGTCTTGAATATTCTTGTAGATACAGGAGCCCTTGAGTCAACCCCTCAATGATTTGAACACGTTTTTTCCGAGTCCAAGAATAACCTGTTGATGGGATCTATCCCAAATATGAAAGTAAAGGATACAAATTATTGTTAAAATCCTGAAATGATGAATTGATAGCTGCATACTTCCTGTAAAATAACACAAATAATGCAGAAAGTATAGCGGAGATTGAGATAAGCAGTAAGATGGCTAACCATAGATGTAGAAATACAAGCTCTTGTTAGGCATGTACTCATAGATCAACATTTCTCTTCTCTTTCCGTGCAGTAACCCAATACTCTCACAAGATTTATGTGTTGGAGTCTAGCAGTAAGTAACACTTCAGTTTTGAACTCTTTACTTCCTTGTTTAGAAGTTTCACAAAGCCTTTTCACCGCAACCTCTTGCTCATTTTTAATTTGCACTGTAAAGAAAGTTAGTATTCATCCTGTCTTTTATGCGTGGGTGAAGTATATAAATATACACTATCGCCGTATCTCTAGTCTCCTTCATCTAGTTCATCCAACTAGCTCTATGCTGTATTTTTTCCATTGCTACCTTCTCAAATTTAAAGATGAAAGGGGACAATACAAGACATGAACGGTTAAAAAACATATGAATTACCTTGTAAACAGGACCATATCCTCCTTCACCAAGCTTATTTTCTTTTGAAAAGCCACTTGTGCCTGCCATTACATCATCAAAACTAAATATTTGCAGAAAATAAGAATCATTACTCTCAATGGATTCCAGAGACGCCAGCGGCTTTTGCTCCATCTCTTTTTCTTGTTTCGAGCTTGGCAGTGGAAGCAGTCCTCTTTTCATATGCCATATTGTGTAGACTACTAACAGGATTGTCACAATAGGTACCACCGGAAGCAGAACTTTCAGAAGTATTTGCTGCTTGCTTTTTTGCTTCTCTTCATTTTGCTCAGCTGTAAGAAAGTTATAAGCTTGACTAAATTTAAAATAGAAGTACAGTCTTTCCTTAAATTCCTGAAAGTTTCAAGTATACATCTTAACTTTTATTGGCTCATATCTGGCATAAGAATCCCCTGACAATCAGAGAGGGTCTGAAGATCTTTCAAATGATTAAGGGTTTCTTATCTGTAGTGAGTAAGTTTAACATCTATCTTGTATCTATAGGACAACTTTCAACTTTGAAATCAATGGTGGAAATGAAATCTTTATGTGCCTATTTGGATAATGGACCAGGATTTGTAGGTGTCTGCAGCAAAATCCTACAGTGTGTTTCCAGGGTTTACCTTACTGTTTTTGCTTTTGAAAGACTCGTTTCCTCTGTTTAACCTTTCAAGTAATCCTAGTCCTTTGCAAAGTTTTCAATACCCTTCAGAAATTTGTAGGTGGGGGTCTTTGTAAATCTTCGTGCAGACTGAAATTTTGGTAGTACCGTGGATTTAGTTAACCTAATGAAATTGTTTTTCCTTCAAAACCAGCTAAGAAAAATGTTCTTGGATTGTTGAAGGTTATTTGTTTTGCTTTTTATATGCAGGAAAGCAAAAATGCCAAGATTAGGAATTTTAGAATCTTACCTGCTGCTCGAGAAAGCTCCCAATTGTCATCCACGGAGATTCTTTTTCTTTGCATATAAAACCTTGGTTCTGATGGCCCGAACATCATCGAATGCAATCCAAGTTGACTGAAAACTGCAGTAGCTCGTGACGTAAGTTGAATTATTATATGAAACAGTATTATGTCATCGAATGAAGTCCTTGACTGCCATGTACGTCATGTCCCCTTCCGGAGTAAAAGCTGATCCAGTAGCAGGTGCACCAATTCCATCGGCTTTGGGGTCCTTCAGTGTCCATGCATAGCCATAGAAAGGCAATACCAAAACAATCTTCTCAGCTGGTAGTCCTCCACTAATCCATGAAGTTATACCAAAATCTGTGTTTTTGTTGCTTTCTGGATCATATAGTGCAGCATGAGGACCTGTACGTTCTGGATTCAATTTAGTCGTGTGTTAATCGTATGCAGAGATGTGAAGCCAATCTAGATTCTTCCTGATTGAATCAACTGGATGGGTAGCTTCAAGAATATATTGCGAGAAAGGAGCAGCCATTGTCAGAATTAGCCGTGAGTTATTTTTGTTTCTTGATTCTGATCCAATAGCAGACCTCCATTCATTGAATAGTATCCCGATGTTATCAGCATCTGCAGCTGTACTTGCTGAAGGCCAGCTGAAATCTAAGCCATCAAACCCATATGATCGAGCTAGATCCATTGAAGACTCAATGAAGGATTTCCTAGAAGAAGGTTGACTAACCATTGTCGAGTAGATTGAATAATTACTCCTTTCTCCCCCAATGGATAAAAGAGTCACGACTGATGGATTTCTTTGTTTCAGAGTGCTGCTGACAACTGAGAAATACTTCTGATCGGAAGAAGAGATGTTGAGCTCATATGTCACAGAATTGATGTCACCAAAAGCACAGATTATGTGAGTGAAGAGACTTGAGTTGATGTCAGAAATACGAAATCCTGAGCCAGAAAACCAGTAACTGGCTCTCATCCAACTTTGTGCAGCTGAGATTGCCCCATTAGATTGGAGGATCAAGAGTAAAAGAAGAATGATCTTCATGGATGAAATGAAATGCATAAATTAGGCTTGTGAATGTTTCAAACTTATGAAGGTACGTAAAAGCTTGTTTATATTCGCAAGTATAAATCAAACTTTCTTCGTTTGTTTGCTTTTGTCGGAATGACGATTCCCGCGGCAGCTTTGACCTAGACTGTCGGTCACAATTTTTAAATTTCGCGGTTCTTTATTGAAAGATGAATGAAAGAGGAACCTAATAATCAACTAGTATCAGTTGTCATCTGGTTATTTCATTCATATGATTTTCAATACATGGTTTTTTCTAATTTTGGTTCCAATTGTGAGATTATTATAGTTACAGTTATGATGATGGTAAGTATTGTGGACTTCTAGTTTAGTTCTTTCTCCATTTTCTTTCAACAAATATATATATATATATATATATATATATATATATATATATATATATCTTACTATATTAGAAACAAAAACCTCCCTTTCAAACATCTCATATGATTGCCACGTGGCATGTAGAAAATACTAAATTGCCCTTTTGTCTAACTATAACTAAATTAGTAAATCTTCCTTTGCACTTTACGTGACACGTTTTTTTTTTTAATTTTTTTCTTATGTTTCATTCAACTAGAGTGGTTTTTTAAATTGAATTGATCAATTAGGTTTTTTGTTACAAAGTGTCAATTTTGTTTTAAGCGTATACCCTTCGGATGAAGCTTATTACAAAGTTATTAAAAATCTCCAAAACTAAGTATTGATTTGGCACGACCAATGGAGAACGTCAATAAATCATCTTACTAATATTTAAATTTATTAGGATGCTTTTATATTTTATCTAACATTTACTTCAACACATATATTCGATTAAGCTATTTATATTTAATAAGTAACACTTATAAAACATTTCTAAAACATACATGGCGAAATACAAATTTTTTATTTTTTTTTTTTCAAAATACAAATATTTCTATGATCACACTTATAAAACATTTCTAAATTCTTCAAACATTTCTAAAATATATCGCTCCAAATACAAAATTTTATTTTTTTCAAATATAAACATTTCTAAGATCTACAGATAGACTGGGCCAGGGTCGCGCATTGCGCAATCAGACATCACTAGTATATATATATATATATTCCATTTTCTTGGTTTTTCCTAGTGCAGCGAGTTCTTATCACTAGGTGAAAATAATGATGTTACTAACATAGATCAATTAATATGCCTTTGATAAAATAGACTAATGTATAATCATTTCTTAAAAAAACAATAGTTTTTATTTAAATTAGATTATGTATAAAAAGAATAACCAGTTTTTAATTTCAGGAAGGCTAATTACGGCATTTCCTGAGTAGACCCCTTATCTGATCTTCTGGTTCATAAGTAGCTCTTCTCTTGCTGATAATAAGTGGAAATATAACAGATTTTTTGTGTCCCCAAATAATTATAATTATAATATATGGTGTACGAAATTTAAACATTAACGACCTTTTGTGTTGACCAGCCGCTCTAAATACTTTCACTCTTAAATTATTCATCCGTTTATTTTTAAACTATAATATGATTTCAGCCAACTCTGCTGGTTTGTATTTCCATAATACAGACAAAATATTATCCACTATATATTTGTGTTAAATACTTACCCAATTCTACAGACGAGTCATCATAATAATATACTCTTTTTTAAAAAATCAAAATGTGATATTAATTAATCAAGAAAACGGAGCAAAATATAAACATTACAAGGAGTTATTACAATCCATCTTAAATGCTTTATCTAGTCACAAAGGAGAATTGTCCTCCCAACTTTGTGAGCACTTACTAGATAAAGTTAATTTGGCCAAATTACGACATGATGAGTTCCATTCTTTACGAATATATATAAATCTAAACTCAATACAAGAGTTCTTCAACGAGAAGATATATTTGACTATGGTTAAAACATCTAAAACAATTTTGCTCTGTAACCAAGCAACCTTAACCTTCACAACTAGTTATATTTCCACTCTTCTGAATTTTCTAAGTTGAACTTCTGACACTTCTCACCGCTTCCAGCTCCGCAGCCATACTATTTTGAACACATTCATGCAGTACTGATTTTGCACATTTCAGTTTGCCTTCATCATCCCTGATACAAATCCCTAACCCTACAACCTTCTTCCCTTCATCCAAGTGTGAGCTGACATTCACTCTAACCTTCCCCCTTCCTGGAGCTTCCCACCCTGGTTCATTATTTGCGTTTGTTTCTACATTTTGTCTCCCTTTCTTCTCTACTTGCACATGTTTGAACTCCCCCCATTCCTTCATTGCTCTCTGAACTACTTCCACAGCCTCAGTACTCTTCCCTTCATACTGCCAAGCAATCCTAGCTTTCCAGATGTACCACAGCAGATAGACAGTAAATTCTATTATGTCCTTTATTTCAGTTCCCTTCTTAATTTTCATCAAAGCGCCCCACCATTCTGTAAACCTATCTGTTCTGATTGTTATCCCATCCCACTTCACTGGAGATAATTTCTAAACCAGCTTTGCAAACTCACAGTTAAAAAGAATATGCTCTACATTCTCCACATCCCCCTCCCACATTTCCTACAGACTGCATCTACCTCCATTCCTCTCTTGATCAGAACAGTATTAACAGCTATCCATTCTTTATACAGTTTTCAAAGAAAGTGTCTCAGTTTTGTTTTAACTGATAGCTTCCATGTTTTGGACCAAATACGCTTTGTCTCCTCTCTTCCTCGATTTGATTCATCCACAACTTCTTTTACCTTTTCTATTTCCTCAAAAGCTGATGCTACTATGAATTTTCCATTACTGGAGCCTCCCTATACCAGACTATCATCACAACCAAACTTACTAACAGGCATTTGTAGTACCAAATCCACTTCTGATGGAATTAAAAGTTGCTGCAGAAGTTCAGGCTTCCATTTTCTACTCACAAGATCAATTAGCTGAGCCACACTGGTCAAGTGTTGATTTTCCCAAGTCCTTCTACCCACTCCCTCCACACAGCTTTCTGGTAACCAATTATCATTCCAGATACTAGCACTATTCCCATCTCCAATCTTCCACCTTGCCTTCTTACCAACTCCTTTACAAGCCTCTAACCGCCATTTCCATAACCAAGAATCACTACCTCTTTCTTGCACCTGGAATAAGGAACCATTTGGATAGTATTTTCCTTTCATAACTCTAGCCATCAGAGAATTAGGATCATATAGTAACCTCCAAACCTGCTTTGACAGCAAAGCCTCATTCATGGATTTAAGGCTTCTAAATCCTAACCCCCCTAACTCTTTCTTTTTAGCTAACTTATCCCATGATCCTCAATGGATTTTTTTTTTCTCCTCACTATCACCCCACCACAGCCCAGCCCTACTACCTTCTATCTTATTACAAATATTCGCAATGAGTTTATAACAAGAAATTGCGTAATTCGGTAATGACTGTACTACAGACTTTAAAAGTATCTCCTTCCCTGCAGGTGACAGCAGTTTACTTTTCCAGCTATTGATTTTCTTTGTGGCAGCCTCCTCAATATATATGAAAACCTCCACTTTTGATCTTCCAATCACTAGTGGCAAATCTAAATATTTAGATTTTAAATGCACACTACTACCATTCACTTCAGCACATATCAAGTCTTTTTTAACAGTAGCTACATTCTTACTAAAAACATAGAGGATTTTTTCCAATTCACCTTTTGACCCCAACACACCCCATAATTAGCCAAAATCCTTCTAAGACATCTAATTTGACTAAGATCAGCTTTACAGAAAAATAATGCATCATCTGCAAACAACAAATGTGTAATTTCAGGGCCAAAGTTGCTCATTTTTACCCCCTTAAATTCCCCCCTTCTAACAGCCATATTGATCAAGTTTGAAAAAACTTCTGAACAGATCAAAAACAAATAAGAGGACAGTGGGTCCCCCCTGTCTAATTCCCCTTGAAGGCTTAATATGAGCTTTGGCCTCCCCCTTGATATTAAAGGAAAAGGATGCTGTTCTGACACATTGCATTACCTACCCCACAAAAACAAGGTCAAACCCAATCCTAATCAACATGTTTACTGAGAACCTCCATGTCTACTCTATCATAAGCCTTCGCTATATCTAATTTAATTGCCACAAACTCATCTCTCTTATTTCTCAAATTGTTGAAATGGTGGAGGTACTCGTGTGCTATTGTGACATTATCAAGAATTTGTCTCCCCGCTAAAAAGGCGGATTGGTTATCACTTATACAAAATGGCAATAAAGGTTTTAATCTATCTGCAAGAATTTTAGAGATAATTTTGTAAACAACAGTGCATAGACTAATAGGATGATATTGAGAGTTTTTTTGTAGGATTTTCTATTTTTTGTATAAAATAAACAAGAGTATGATTGAAAGTTTTCAGCATTCAATTTGAGCGAAAAAAACTTTTAACAGTTAAACACACATCAGATTTCACAATATTCCAAAAACACTAAAAAAACAATGGAGTCATATCGTCCATTCCAGGTGCTTTGGTAGGGTTCATACTAAACAGGGAATTCTTAATCTCGCCCTCCTCCGCCGGACGAATTAGTGCAGAATTCATTTGAGATGTGATAGTGCTTGGAATTTCCGTCAGCAATCCTTCCCAGCCACCCTGATCTTCAGATTTAAACAGGTCCAGGTAAAAGTCCTCAATTTCCCCCTGTATTTCTTCTTCACCTTCACACCACCTCCCATCCTCCTTTACCATCCTTTTCATTCTGTTTTTCTTCCTCCTTTGCATCGTGGAGGCATGAAAGAACTTAGTGTTCTTATCCCCTTCTCTCAACCACATATTCCGACTTTTTTGTTCCCAAAATGCTCCTTCCTCATTGTATGCCATATCCAACTGTTTTTTCAACTCCTCTTATTTTCCTCGGTATCTATTCCCACCCTCTTCTTTCATCAGCTCCATAACCCTTGTAATTTTTTTGATTTTTTTGGTTTGCATTAGAATCACTCATTCTGCTCCACTTCAACATCTCCATTATGCATTTCTTTATTTTCAGAGAGAGTTTATGCATAGAGGAACCCTCATATTCCTCTTCCCAAACTTTCTTAACAATCTCTTTAATCCCTTCTTTTCCAACCCATCTTTTGTCAAAGCAAAAACGGCCAATTCTCCTTTTACAAGTCGGGTCAGTATCAAATTTCAACAAACAATGATCAGAAGCTAGTCTTTTCCACAGCTACTAGCACTTCTCTCCCTCCCTCCTAGTTTCTCCCTCCCATTTCTAATGTCATTAAAGTCCCCACCCATAATCCATCTGTCACCCCGACTTCTTTCCTTTGAATCAGTACTGGCGTATACAAAAATTCCCCACATTCACCTTTTTGTTTCTTTTGTTTCAAACTCAACTTCAATTGAGAATTCAGTCGTCTCCAATCCTAACACTATCACTTCCTCACCCCATCCTAAGGCCATCCCCCCACTCAGTCCCACAAGATCAACCATACACCATCTAGTATCAAAACCTAATTTCTTACCCACTAGCTTCACAAAACCACCTTTACGCTTTGTTTCACACCAGAATACTAATTCTGGTTTATAGAGCCTGTAAGACTCTTTTAATTGTGAAACTATAGACGAGCTTCCCAGTCCCCTATAGTTCCACGATAGAGCTCTCATTGGATACTTTGGGACCAATCTAGGCTGGCTACCCCCACCTCATTTTCCTGATCAACTCTCTCTATAACTGTTTCTGATGGTATCTTCACTACTTCTTTATTCTGCCCCTCCAACAGTTTCCTTTTCTTGTCATCTATCTCTTCCTGTGTCCCCTCCTCTTGTCTGCCTCCCCTATATTACTTACCTGCTAAGTCACGCAGTCCCAATTCCTTTCCTTTCTTACTTTCATCTCGGTTCCCATTACCAAGCCTTGCCCTTTTCTTCCACATTCCTTTCTCCCTTCCCCTTCCACCACCACATACAGGAACAACCTGCTGATTGTCATTTGTAATGTCCCTTAGCACCTTCTCTCATCCATCTCTGCACTTTCCCCAATTAAACTGCCATAGACTGATATCAAATTATAATATCATCCTCTTGTAGTGCCATCTCCTCATCCTCTATCAGATTACCCCCACCCCAGATTGGTGCTTTCCCAGCTGCTATAGCTCTTTCCAAACAATCTTTAGCTCTATTAGTTACCCTAGTACCCTTAACAAAATTCTGCTACCCACTCCATCATCTGGAAAATATTCCTGGATGGTCTCCCAAACTTCAAAGTTCCGCAAACCTTCAAGAACAATGAGATACTTCTTTCCCTTGAGACTTCGGCTCAAAAATTCGCCCGTATCCTCTCTGCTCTGCCCTGGATTTCATCTAAGGATGGAGCAAGAGAATGTAGAATACGGGACAACTCAAGATCAACACCTGAAATGTGATCGACCCTTGCACCAATCAAAGTGACGTGCAACGATTGGACGGCGAAAAACTGTTTCTGCGAGGTAGGTTTACCAATGCTGCTACTAATCTCCCATACTTTCAATACTTTTAGTTCAGAAGATCGTTCGATGACTTCATCAATCAAACCGCTCATGAAGTCATGTTCATCCATTTCAACTGCTGAAAACAACTCAAACGGAAACGTTTTCTCCCAGTCCAAATCGGTCCTCTTACGATTATAAAAAAAAAATAAAAATAAAAAAATAAAAAAAAAATTGTGCGAATGCCGAACCAACACAGGACGCGTCTAATCCATGAATTCGAAGTCGCCTGAAAAATTTCAACCCATTGGTGAAATACATCATCAAGGCAACCACGCCATGGACGTTGAATCTGAGAGCGCCGCGAACTCTTGGTTTGCGAATCGTCATCATGTAATTCTAAAACGCTGGCAGTTTTTTCAACTTGGATCTCTTCCAGAATGGATGCCTCCTTTAAAGCATTATCCAAAAATCCAGTAATTCGACTCAGCAAATCATGAATTCCCCTGTATTCCACAAAATCCTTCTTTTCCGAACATTGACTCCGCCGCAAGAAAGCCAAGTAGCCTTCAATAGATTCTCCAGCATCTTCGGCAGCAACTTTGATTCGATTCAACGTATCATGGTTAAGAACCCTGAGCTTTGGAAGCAAAACTGCCGGCCCTGAAATAGGAAAATTCAGCTTCTTTCGCCAATCGATGAAAGAAGCCAAAAAAATCTTTCTGAACTCCTCATTGGCGGCAAGCAGATCATTGGCCAACTCCCACAGATCATGATTAACTACTTCGTCATCTAATTTGTCATCAAAGCATCCAAACAGGTTTTCACGTCCGAGAGTTCATCCAACATATCCATCTCCATTTTCGGGGAATGCGAAAGGTTCGGATGTTTTCCTAAGTTGCATAACGTATGAATAAGGAACATCCATCAAATGCTTAAATGTACTCAATTCATTAAGGATTTCATTAGCTTTTCGATGAAAACCTCTGGCTCTTTCCTCCGCTTCTCGGAGAACTCGACATGAAAACTTTATCAGTTCACCTTCCAGCAGTCGCATCAGATGAACGAGTGCAGCATGAGACTGAAGGATCAACATTTCTCCGATGTACGTATGCTTTCACCAGAAGGGAAAAAAGAAGACAAAAATATTCAGGGGGGGTAACTGAATGGTCTCTAAATAAAGTTTTGTGTCACTTGTCAAGTCATCAAGAAATGAAGAAGGCAAGAAACTCCTCGAGAGACTTAGCATGCCATGTCTGACTTTGCATCTAGTTTTGTCCTTTGGGAGCTTACAGCCTCTGTTTCGAAATACTCTCTGTTTTAGTCATAACACACAAATTAACACCAAATTATATGCTTCATAATTAAGACCAGAGGAGGTCTACCTACCGACAAGTCTTAGTGATTGTAAACGTTTTTGAGATAATCCCAACTCAGTGTCAACAATTCTGTCCCGGAAGGATTAATATCTCTATGAAATATTGACGCTTTGTCCTAGAAGGCAAACAAGTAAATTTAGTGTCACCCAACAAGAAATCAGGAAGGCAAGAAACTCCTCAAATGTATATTTTGACCATGCATTAGTGTCAAGGTACATAATTGGGTAAGAAATTGGGTGAGACACTTATGGAGATTTTATAACATGTAGTAAAAAATATTACAATTCTTGAACTAAATCTACTATCTATTAGTATAAACATTGTCACCCTGTTAACTATCCATTTATTGAGACTTTTGTGAAAATGAAATAGCAGAGCAGACCCATCAAAATTACTCCTTCCCAAACGAATATTTGATGTGTATTTTTTGGAGGCAAAGGATGTATTAGGCAGATCCAACAAATTTTCCAAAAATTTAAAAACAATTAAAAAAAAAATTAAAATTTACTTATATAGTAATAGTTACTACCTCAAGAAAGAAGTCATTTTGCTGATGAAGGTTCTTAATCTCAATAATGCTACAGTTATGAGTGATTCTTCTGTTGCTGTTTAGCTATTATAGGGAAAGCACACTCTGTTTACTTGTATTGTTGGAGATTAAACAATTGTTATTAGATCTATCTTTTAGGACTATATATTGGATTCTACGACCAAAAAATGAAGTAGCTCATGTCATCGACTTATGTCAAATCATATGTAACAAATGATATAACTTGGTTTCATCCACCGAGTTATTTGTATCATTTGGGGCTCGCTGATTTCCAGCAAGATTAATATAATTATCTTTCTAAAAAAATAGTTACTGCCTCAAAAAAATGAGACCCTTCAAGTTCCCAAACCTCTTTCTTTGAATTTCCTGTTTCGTTGCAAATGCTATTGAATTTCAACAATCCTGCATCTGAGCATCTCTCTCTTGATTAGTTGGGACTAAGAGTGAAAAAGAGATGAATGCAGTACCAGTGAAGTTGTAGGATCAAGGATTTTCTTTCGGGTCGGTTGATATTCCAGTTTCATTCCCCACTTTTATCATTCCCAATTTCCTTGTATTCCAGCTTCTTTCCGCATTTTTATCATTCCCAATTTCCTTGTATCAGTAGTAATTTATTTTGGCATGGTTTGAATCTTTACTGAAATAAAATTGTTGGATTTATTTGATGCCGGAGCCAGAATGTAACAATGGTGTTGGAATTCAAGCCCACAAGGGAACTAAAACTTGATTGAACCCTGGGAAATTGGACTTTGATTGGAGACCAGGCTAGATTCATCAGTTGATGATCATCGACCGTGTTGTGATTCTGAGCGAGCAACAATTGGAGATAATGACATTAAAGATTAGGCGCTGGAATCCGATTCCCCCCAAAAAAAATTGGGTTGTAATCTCTCAAATCGAGAGGTAATTCTTTTTTACTTCCTGGATTATGTGGATGTTCAATTTTATGACTTTTGATTGATGAAATGTTACATACGTGAAAATTGATGAATAAACTATGGAATTTGGCATTCATTTCTGTGACTGACATATGGTAAATCTGTGATGAGATAACGGCCTCATCGGGGAACTAGTGTTGTTATTGTTGCTGTATCAACTAGTCCTGTTCCAGATGATGCAGATGATTTCTCTGTGTCTCCATCTTTTGTAATGGAGAATGCAGGTCTTTTTGGTTGCTTCATTGCCGTTGTTTCGTTCCTAAGCATATAAGAAATTTCCAGCATGGTAGGTCTATCTTTGGGATCTTCTTGAACACACTGAAGTGCAATGTGAAGGCATGTCATTAATTTGAACGACGAATTTGCATCATTCAGTGTTTCATCCAGAAATTCCTGTCCTTTGTCATTTCGCCATAGCTCGTATGCCTGTAGAAAGTAGTTAACAGCGTTAATGTTCGATTACTATGGCCTGATTAAAGCTTGATTGAAGGAACATATTTAATCAGACTCACTTACATATTGTAGAAGGTTTAAGTTTGAATCTTGGCCATAATAACATGAGCTTTTCTTCCCGCTAATGATTTGAAGTAGCAGTACCCCAAAGCTGAAAACATCTGATTTGGTGGAGTAGATCCCTCCTCGTATGTATTCAGGTGGAATATAACCACTGCAACAAGGCAAACAGAGAAACTTTTAGTCTCATTTGTATCTCAGCAGTAAGTGTTTCATAAGGCTAGTTTCGGATACTCACTAGGTTCCAACCACTCGGTCTGTGTTTGCTTCAAGTATATCCTTCTGGAATATTTTTGCTATTCCGAAGTCTGCTATCTTGGGTTTCATCTGATGGTCCAGTAAAATATTGCTCGCTTTTAGGTCTCTATGAATTACTGTTATTCTGGAATACTCTTGTAGATACAAGAGCCCTTGAGTCACTCCCGTAATGATTTGAACACGTTTTTCCCAGTCCAGGGACAACCTGTTGACTGGATCTACAACAAATAAAGTAGTAAATTCATGTCATGAGTTCAGAAATTATGAAGCACTAGCCCCCATGCATAAAGTTATGAACCCGGAAAAGAAAATGATGCTGGAAAAATGTAGAGATTAAGCTGAGTAAATGATAACCATAAATGTAGAAATCCAAGCTCTTGTTAGGCATGTACTCATAGATCAAGATTTTCTCTTCCATTTCTGTGCAATAACCCAAGACTCTCAACAGATTTATGTGTTGTAATCTTGCAGTCAGTAACACTTCAGTTTTGAATTCTTCCCTTCCTTGTTTAGAAGTTTCAGAAAGCCTTTTAACTGCAACTTCTTGGCCATTTTGAAGTTTGCCCTGCAAAAAGAAGATAGTATCATTCAACCTGTCTTTATGCATTGGTACATTATAAGATCTGTTGTCTTCTTGATCTAGTTGATTCCAAAACAGTTCTAGTTGCTGAGCAAAATAATTTGACATTAAAATGGGATTACCTTGTAAACAGGCCCGTATCCTCCTTCTCCAAGCTTATTTTCTTCTGAAAACTCATTCGTGGCTGCCCTAATCTCATCAAAGCTGAAAACTTGGAGGAAATGAGAATCATTGCTCTCAATGGCATTTAAATACGCCAGAGGCCTTCTCTCTACTTGGTTTTCTTCTTTCAATCCTGGCTGTGTAAACAGTCTTCTTTTCATGCGCCATAAGGTATAGACTAACACGATGGTTGTTGTCCCCGACACTACTGGAAGCAGAACTTTCAGAAGTATATGCTTTTTTCCTTTTTGCCTCTTCTCATCTTGTTCAGCTGCATGTATGAACAATTTAAATGTCATGCTGAATATCCCTGAAAATTCTTATAGGTGTAAGTATGTCTTAACTTTTGTCCATTCATATCTGCCATTGAAGAAGTATTGAAATGTTTTGCCTCTGGATTTAATAGTTTCAAACACCTCTTGTAACATTTCTTTTTGCGTTTCGACAACATCCAACTTTCTTTTTGATGCTGGGAATTAAAATTTTTGTGTATCTGCTGGTGTATCTTCTGCAGAATCCCAATAAGTGTTTTCAGAGTGCTACCTAAATAGCTTTTAAATTGAAAGACTTGTTTCCTCTGTTGGAATCTTTGCAGTAATTCTAGACTCGTAGTCCTTTGCTTAAATGCCTATGACCTGCAGTAAGATCTTTGCAGGTCATAGCCACTGATTTTTAGCTGCATGATAAAGTTGTTAATCTTTAACACCCGAAAAAAGAGTCTGTTCCATTTTCCAAGTTAGTTAATTTTCTTTTCAGAATCAGCAAAAGTAAAGCTTCTAAAGATTAAGAGTTATGTTTCATGAAAACTTATCTGATGAAGTATAGTCTTTACCAGCAGCTTGAGAAAGCTCCCAATTGTCATCATTTGGAACTTGCCAAACCACATATCCAAGGAGATTCTTCTGTTTTGCATATGAGACTTTAGCTTTGATAACCTGAACAGCATCAAAGCCAATCCAAGTCGACTGAACACTACAGTAGCTCATGACATAAGTGGAATTGTATGATGAAACTGCATTGTACCGTCGAATGTAATCCTTGATTGCCTTGTAGGTCATGTCCCCATCTGGAGTAAAAGCTGATCCATTAGCAGGGGCACCAATTCCATTGTTTTTGGGGTCCTTCAGTGTCCATGCGTAGCCATAGAAAGGCAGTCCCAAAACAATCTTCTCTGGCGGGAGCCCTCCACTAATCCATGAAGTTATACCGAAATCGGTGTTTTGGTTGCTTTCTGGATCATATAATGCAGCAGGAGAACCTGTCTGGTCTGGATTTGAACTAGGCGTATGGTAATCGTAGGCAGAAACATGAACCCAATCCAAATTCTTCCTAATTGAGTCAACTGGCAGAGTAGCATTAAGAATATATTGCGAGTAAGGAGCAGCCATTGTCAAGAAAAGCTGTGAGTTATTTTTGTTCTGTGATTCCGATTCAATAGCAGATTTCCATTCATCAAATAGTAATCCAATGTTAGTTGCATCTGCAGCTGAACTCGCTGAAGGCCAGCTGAAATCTAAGCCGTCAAACCCGTATGATCGAGCTAGATTTACAGAGGAGTCAATGAAGGATTTCCTGTAAGAAGGTTGACTAACCATGGTTGAGTAGACTGTGTAGTTGCTTGTTCCTCCTCCAATGGACAAAAGCGTTATGACTGATGGGTTCTTTTGTTTCACAGTGGTGCTGAAGACTGAGAAATCCTTTTGATCTGATGAAGAGAGGTTAAGGTCATATGTGATTGAATTGATGTCTCCAAAAGCACAGATTAAGTGAGTGAAGAGGCCAGAATTTATGTCGGAAATCGGAAACTTAGTCCCGGAGAACCAATAACCTGATCTCATCCAACTCTGTGCAGCTGTGATCATAAAATCAGATGGGAGAATCACCAGTAAAAGAAGAATGATCTTCATGGAAGAAATTTGTGAATCCTCAAGCTTACTTATTTTCACAATTACTAATCCCTGCGTCCAAAAACAAGAAATGGTCCACTTTTATCGAACTAAAACAATATATCAAAGTGGACTACTTTCTTAGAACAGAGAAATAATTATACTAGTTTTGTTCAGCTGCTTCGGACAGAGGTGGTTGGATAGTTCCCAATTCCCACGGTGCAGTGTGAAGCTTCTGAGAATTTCAGGAATGGCTAAATATGGCAAATTTCGTGGTTAAACGTATCTGATCATCCGATTCATCAGTACGATGTTGTTTCTTTGTAGTGATAATTAAATCAATGAATGAGAAAGAAAACATAAAATATTATTTGGACTCTTTGATTTGGCCAGCATTGAAGACTTATTAAGCTATTAGTACCAACAACAAGTTACCTAATTCCGCGACGGACTTGTAGTTTGGGATTTTCCATTTTACTTTTTGTAATTTTTCTTTTAGAAAATGCGTTTTCAGAAAGGTATAAAAAGCATGGTTAGCCAAAGAACGAATTATGAAAATACACTCTCTCAAAAATAATAATAATAATAATAATAATAATAGTCTACATTCATATTACAAATATCAAAATTCAATATAAAGTACTCCTTCCATCTCATAATTATTGTCCAGTTTTACTAAAATGAAAGATTTTATTTTTTGTCAAACTTAACTATATTTTACCTTAAACAACCGGATATACCCCTACATAAGTAATTGTTTAACCACTAAGATTTTATGGATAATGTTTTTTACTAAGGACAAATGTGTAACTTGATCATAAAAAGTCAAAGTGGACAATAATTTTAGGACAAAATTTTTTGGGCAAAGTGGACAATAATTATAGGACGGAGGGAGTATTATTTTGAAACATAGTAATATGATAACATCTTCTTTATTCTATAAAAATAATCTAAATTTATGATTTATATTACAAACATTACAATTTACCATTTACAATGTAAATTATTTTTTGGATAGAGAACTCTGCCGGTGGATCACCAGCCGCCATAGGCGATAGATATGAGATTTGATCTGGCCGAGGTTCCTTAAGTGGTGGGTGGTGTGATGACTGAAATTAAGATTGTTTCTCTTTTTTGGCAAAGATTACAACAAAAAACGTAATAATTTCTCTTCTTCATTCAGGGCACTGCACAACAAAACAAACTTAAACCCGCATCCCAAGCCCAAACAGTATGGCTGAAATACTTATCCAAAATAAATGTACATTGTTGAATTAAATTTCTTATATGAATATTAATAAAGAACAAATGTACATTGTTGCATTAATTTTCTTATATGAATATTAATAAAGAACGATGATAGAGACAGTGACAAATAATAATGAAATAAAATAATGACTAATGAAAAGACAAATACACCATTCTCACTAAATATGTTTGATTATTAACTAAGGATAAAAATGTAATTTTAAGAAAAATAAAATTTTAACGAAAAAATAGCAAAAAACTAGGGATCAAAAATGTTCCACATCACTCACAATCTTTTTTCACTATTTTTTTTCACTATACATATTATTTTCCATTAATAACATCTCTAGGAATTCGTCTTAAATTGTTCATCTCCCCGGGAATTAGTCGAAGAACTTAATCGGGTCGCAACAACTCTTGTTTGTTTTTGTTTTTTTTTTGTTTTTTTGGAATAGGCAACAACTCTTGTTGATGTGCATGTTGAGATAATTCCTACAAAGATTTAACACTTAGTGGTTGACCAATTCAGAATCCATTGCGGAAAATTGCTGATCAGAAAATATGATATACTGAAACTTGCAAACTCTCATAGACAATATTTATCGAATCTAATAATTTTTGCAAATCTTGACAACTTCTTTCTAGCCTTAGCAATTAAAAAGAAACGGCATCCCAAAGCTAAATGTGAAAAAGTACTCTTACCCCAAAAATTAAGCATCCTTTGGAGGATTGTGTATAATTAATTACTCCCTCCATTTTTTTTTTATATGTCTTTTTAGAGAATTCATCAAAACCAAGAAAACATTAAATAATGTAGTTAAAATACAAAAATACCTTTATTTATTTTCTATATAATTCATCACAAACCAATAGAAATTCATTATAAATATTGTTTCATTCGCAATGCAAGAGTAACATTGATAAAAAATGGTTAAATATGTCTCGATTTGTGAAAACGACATATATTTAAAAAAATTCACCAAACCTTAAATCGGCGTATATTTCAAAATGGAGGGGGTAAAAAGAATCCACAGACTTCGAGAAAATATACATGCGTGTGGGTTATGAAGTTGAATTAAAATACACCAGGTTAAGAACTTGTGAACCGCCTTACATCAGTTGATTAGTAGTTATCAAACGGTTTTATTATGTTGACGCTTCCGAGATTAATTGTCAAAGAAGAAATACCACTGAGACAATGATGTATGAATGTTTGAATTTAATGAAGATTTTTCTTATTGATGTTTTCCAATCATGGAACTTCTCAATCGACTCTAGAATAACGCAACCCCGTATGGGTTTGTAGTTTCACACATCTTCTGTGAAAACAGCTATCCAAGCATGCATAGTAGCCAAATTCGTTTGCACTCTAAAAGGATTAACTTGTGGCTACCTATTTGCCACAAGATTATAGGACTACACCCTACAAACTTAAATAGAATTTTAGTAGTATTATTATCTCCCCTTTTTTTTATTTGCATTATTAGCCCTTCTTATTCATTAGTTATCTTGATTGGTATTAGCTTTAAATCTTGATCTTCACTACTTTAAAGTAAACAAAGCTTGATCAAAAGTGTGTTCAAAGTACTCCTTCGAAATAACAATCCTAAATAATAAGATTAAAAAAATGCAACAAACTAAAGGTATACTTACTTTTGAGATGGGAAGACTATTTATTAAAGGTATACTTACTTTTATTACTAGCTTTGGTCAGAAATTGAACAAATCGTTGGGATATTCATATGATTATTTTGAAGAATGTGTGAAAATAAGTACTATGATACTTGCATTTTTTTTTATTTAATATAATCTCTTGTACACAGAGGCGGTCACATTTCCGGCCCATGTAGAACCATTGAAATTATTATTCATGCACAACTGGCTTTAGCCTTATTAATTAATCTCATAATCCCAAGTTTCATGGACTGCAATTATATGCGTCATTTATGCTCCCCAGGTGCTTGAAGCTGCGTTACGAAAGAAAAACAGTATTAGTAGGCATTAAGGGCACCAATTTTTTAAATCCCAAAAAAAAAAAAAAAAAAATGAAGCACAAGCTGAGTAATGGGTATGTATAATTCTGGTGATAAATAAAGGAAAATAGTTTGGCTTAATATAATTTGCATACAAAAACTAATGATAACGGAAATTAAGTTTCAAGTTCACATGTAAAGCAAAATGTAAGAAAGTTTAACATTTTGTATTTTAACAGATTATTATAAGTATATTGGTAGGCCACAAGTGAATATGATTTAAGTAAACAGAATATGTGGAGAATGAGATATCTATATCCTTATAGGCCATAAGTGAATAAATATCATTTAACAGATTATTACTCCTTGTACCAAAAAAAAAAACAAAAAAGATTATTACTCCAGTCTCATTTATTAATTATACCTAGGTGAAAATTGACCGACTTAAATCTATATCAATTAGACCCAAAATATCATGCCATCTACATTGCCCACCACTTCGATGTTATACATGAGAAAATAAGTACTAAAGTCTTCCTCTAGGTTAATGGACCAGGTCACTCAAAGAAACTCCATTATACTATAATATCGGACCAGGTCAATTGGTAAGATTTTCTCCATACTTTGGTCCCTCCAGACTTCAATGAGCATAGTAGCCATATTAGGTATGGTGATCACGCGTGCAGAATACGGCGGTCCCTTATACCCCCCAAGTACCGTTACGTTGTCCCAAATTTTAGTCATATATGTTGACCAAAATACTGTTCAATTTCTTATGACTTCAGTTGTTGTTTTTTTTTAATAGTATTGTTATTCTTTGTTACTCAAGCATGTAAGCAAAGAACTTGCTCCAAACTTAACGTAAGAAAAGAATAGACGAATTATCCTCCCGTAATTTTAATGTAACATATCTCTCGTTTTGTTTAGGACGAAAATAATACTCCTTCTGATTCTTAATATAAGGCATTTTGAGATCTTAGAAGTTAGAACTAACCTTGTTGAGAAAGCATCCAATTGCTGTCACCACCAAGTTGCCAAGCAAAGTAACCAAGAAGTCCATTCTGCTTTGCATAAGAAACCTTAGCAGAGATAGATTGAACGGCGTCGTACCCTATCCACGTAGTTCCAGAGTACACATAGTTGCAAACCCGAGTCGAATTATACACCGCCACCGCATTACTATTTTGACTGATAAAGTTCCTAATCTCCGCAAACGTCATTGCACCGTTACCGGGAGCCGCCGGACCGTTCGCCGGAGACCGGATCCCGTGGTTATTACTATTCACCAAACGCCATGCGTATCCATAAAACGGAAGCCCCAGTGCCAGTTTCTTAGCTGGCACCCCTGCATTCCTCCAACCCATGATTCCGGTGCTTCCCGCAGCCTCGCCGGAAGGATCGTATAATCCGGCGTGACAATTCGTGAAGCTTGTGTACCAATCCGGGGAGTAGAAATCGTACGTCATGACGTTAATCCAATCCAGGCTCCTGGAAATGGCTGCGTAAGGATAGCTGTAAGTTCCGTCTACTCTTGGTGAATAGCCTTGAACCGCCGCCGTTAAAAGTAACGCCGGTTTGCCGGACCTGGTAGCCTCGGCCGCGACGGCCGATCGCCATTCGTCCAGAAGGGTTCCTAAATTTGTCATGTCGGAATCGGAACCGGGGTATTCCCAGTCTAAGTCTAGACCGTGGAAGCCGTTGTTCCGGGCTAGGGTTATGGAAGAATCGATGAATGACTTCCTTCTAGATGCCTGGCTCGCCATCGCGGAGAAGGCGGCGTCGTCGGAATTTCCACCGCCGATGGAGAGAAGGGTTCTGACTGAAGGGTTTTTGATTTGGACGGTTTGGGTGAATTGGGAAAATGGCGCGCTGTTTGCGGAGGATATGGTGACTGTGTATGTGGTGGAATCAAGATCGGCAAATGCGCAAAAGAGGTGAGTGAAGAGATTGGAATTGATATTTTGAATTGTGACTCCGCTGTCGGGAAACCAGTAGCCTCCTTTCACCGCATTTTGCCCATTACACAAGTGAACTTGAAGAACAATGAGAACTGAAATGAAGCATAAGAGTTTTGGGTTGGAGTTTGCCATTTTGAATTTGAAATGAAAATGTTTGTAGCAAATTGGGGTATGTATAACTTGCTTATATACTGGTAACTGGATATGATTTTGTTACTTGCACGTTTAGATATAATAATGAATTTTTTATTTTTATTTTTTCTGGAAGGTCAACATTTTGTGCATGGTCCAGTTTTTTTAAAAAAAATATCATGACTAAATCACAACTAATTTCCAACACTTGTATGAATGTGGGAAAAAACACTTGTATTAATATCATGACTAAATCTATATCTACATACCCTATTAAAACAACAATAGTCCAAGAAAAAAAAAAATGCTGACGTGTCGCATTCTTGTGCATCCGTTTCCCGCCCAACAAAAATTACGTAGTTTTGTGAAAAAAAAAATTGATTCCTACAATCTTTAATTGTGTTAACTTTTCTTGTCCTTAATTATAATCAACCAATTAAGATTAATAGAATAGGGTATTAATGATATAAATAAACTGATTCTTTTATTATCTCTAAAATTTAAACATAGAAGTTGAGTTAAAATTGAAAAACACTTTTACTATTTGTATATTTAATTTTAAAATATATTATTGTAAATGGCTCGGACAACGACCGGACAAGCACCTAGTTCATGATTATAGTTTAATTGTTGGTCTTGCACCGCGAGGGGAATTTCAGTAAGTCAAGGAATTGAAAAATTACGTGGCCTAGCTAGTATGGTAAATTTTGTACCGAATTCTCTAGTTATGAATCCAAATTAATTAACACGGCAAGATAAGTTTCAGTTAACCATTATATTTTAAGTGTAGCGGTCTGTTTTTATGTGGACATTTTGTGGAGGATTGAAAATTCACGTATGTTTATATATTCTTTTGTTTCACCCAATGGATTGGTGATCGGACTTTTCTTATTGAGATTATCGAAAAGTTTTGAACGTGTAATCCGCTAATTTGTAGTCCCGCGTATAATATCATCATTTTCAAACAAAAATATTGCAAAAATAAAATAAAATAAAATAAAACAAGACTTGTTTTTGGATAGAATGAGTACGTTGATAACATCATAAATATTCATCTCGTGTATATGAATCGAAATTAAAATAGAGATAAATGTGTAGAGATGAGTATCATCAATTAAACTTGCTTTAATTAGCAATTACGTTGTGGTTACGAATGCTTTGATATCTGGCCTCATACCCAATTTGATCAAATAGCCGAAATCGCGAAGTGTAAGAAGTCAAAGTGTATGTGTGCAAACTTTGAACAAATATTAGAGGTTCGACACAGTCCACATTTGAGTAGGAAAAAATATTAAATGAGTAGCAAGTTTGACATGTGTAGCCTTGGAATATATCTTTATCTTCTACAATCTACAGAGCTGCTGGTAACTTCTAATCGTGCTGGAGATGAAAAGAGCTAGTACGTATAATGAGACAAGTGAGAAGGGGTCTGGTGATTAAAACGTTCAGGATTACAGTAAGAAGTTTTTTTTTTTTTTTTTTTACTATGAATGAGGTAAAAAGTCTATATATAAATATTTCTAGAATATGTTCCATCCATGAAACTATTTTCCGTAGTGATTTATTAAACCGCTGTAATCCTCTAGGACCATATATATTGAGTTCGAATCTAATATGTAAAGAGCAATAACCTCGTTTCTTTCCCCTACTAAAGGAGTCTAACGGGGTCAAATTAATAAACATTAGTATTAGTTTCTTACATAACATACCTTAATGTTAACATTGGCTTATGATTTCCTGTAAAAGAGGGGAAGAAAACATTTCATTCTTCAATCGAAATAATTATACTAATAATGTGGACCCTACAAATGCATGCTTGTTTTGATTAAAATTCTGCAGCTCGTGCTGACGTTTTTCAAGTGTATAAGTATAACCACAAAATCAAAACAAAATGAACCCTTCAAACATAGCATATTTTTATTTATTTTTATTTTTTTTTGCGGTCAATTCTGGACACAGACTTTTCTCTCTTTTGTGAGTTTGTCTCGCCCTCGAATGATGCATAGATCTTCCTCAAGAACTACAGAATAACAAAACCCAAAGAAAGCTTTCCAGTACGCAATGAACTAATTTGCGGATGTATTGCGTAAATAAATAATACCTCCGTCCCATAATTATTGTCCATTTTGAGTTTTCATTTATAGTTCAAATTGTACTAAAAGTGAAATCTCAAACTGAACAATAATTTTGGGATAGAGTGAGTATTTAATTAAGGCAAGTAATATTGCCAAGGCTAAAATTAACCTCTAGAGCAAAAAGTGGGTCTAATACCAAAATTATCCCTAAACAATCAATTAAACAACAAATTTTTTCTTTTCTCCGCATCTTCTTTCTCTTTCATCTTTCACGGCCTTATGACTATACGCGACAGTACTACTACACGCACAGGCCTTGAACGTTAGCATGCAATTTGGAGTTTCTTTTTTCCATAATAATTTGGGGATATTTACAAAATAATGGAGCTCGGTTCTGTTGCCATTTATTTGTCTTAGTTCCGAAATTTCTTTCGACATTTGTAAATTTGTAATCGCCTGAGATGAGTGAATAAATTCAGAAATTACATATGTTCGTATGATTTGTTAGATTTTCTCAATCAAATGAAGACGAAAAATAAAATTTCTAGAATTGGTAATGGAGATGTGATTAAATTTATTAGAAAGACAAAATTAGTGTGCTAACAGATTGGATTTTATTGCATTTAATCTTTTTACTCCCTACAGCCGTTGATACAACGTGAATGGTTCGAATATTATTGGAATGTTTACTTCCGGAGGTTAGAGTTTATTTGTTATTGGAGCAGAGGAGATGGGGGACTGAAGATTGGAGAGAAGATCTACCCATTTCACCATCTAAGGGTATCTTCGGAAGAATCTCCATAATTTGCTCTGGCAATATCATTAGCCATTAATTAATTGGGACATGGGCACGCCATGTGTTAGTATTAGGACATAGTTACGTCATGATGTTAAAAGGCGTTGCTTATCCTTAAAAAAATCTTTTAACTTGGTTTAAGGCTTTGCCACCCTTTCTTCTTATATAGAAAGCAAAGAGGGAAAAAGGAAAACAATGTATAAGCTTCTTATTTGGAAGCTCGTTCTGGGATGATGATGCACATGAAACTTGAGGTAATATTGTTCATCCCTTGGCATCTCCCATGACATTTCCCATTTGAAATGACAACATTTTCAGCTAAATATATTGATTAGGATGCTCCTCCAAACCAAAGCAACGCCTCAACTTGCGAATGTATTAAGTTGAGAAGTGAAAGAAGTCTGGTTCATCGTGGAGCATCCCCATTTTTAAAACTTAAAAGTGAACCGTTGAATTCATAAAGACATAAAGATTTTGCCAGTTTTGATCAATCCCTGTATCATCTTCTGCAGCCACATCAATACAGCTAAACCCACAACCACATCTTGGCGACTCGCTGAAGTCTTTGACCGGGAAGTTGGCGGTGGTAAAACCAACGGAGAACACAAGATAATCTCCATCCCTTCTCACCTCCTTTATTCTCAGCCAGAGCCTGACCAGCTTAACGTGGACCCCTCTCAAGTTCTCAAGCCGGTCCTTCGTTATGATTCCTGACATGGTGGACTCGTATTTGAGGTGGAATGTGTTGGCAAGCATGAAGGTGCACGTGCCTTTGAGATACGCTGAGAACTCACCGGTGGAAGGATTCAGGTCATACCCAGTTGCACCTTCTGGAAGAAGACCCACAGGGAAGTCGTACTGTGCGAGAGCCTCATAGACCGAAGGGGTATCCTCCTCAGGCCATGAACCAGCACAACATGAGAAGATCAAGAGAGGAAAAAGGCAAAGTAAGCCTAATACTGAAGTCATGGTTCTCTTAATTCAGCTCAAGAAACCCTGCCAGGCACTAATATATTCAGCCCTTTCTTGGATCCTGGGCGTTTTCCTCATAACAACAAGGAAGATGCTAGGATGAAAATGAAAATTGAAAGATGCCATATAATACAATTACAATGTAATAAGACGGAGACAAGTTCAACAGCCAGTAGATGAAGCTACAACTAATCATTGAGTACTACTGGAAAGAAGTAGTAGGAAAGTCAGAGCTAGTTTATTGCTGAATTTAGCTGTCATGGGCCAGTCCTAGTTGTCCTTGTGCTAATAAGAATGAGTCCACCAGATAGCAGTATTTACAAATCATTGACATCAGTAGTTCCAACCTCGACTAGGAGAATAAATGGGGAAAAAAGAATCCATCAAAGCACTTGTGAGATGCTCCCATGCAAGTAGGTATACCTAATTATCAATTAACTTGCGATTAGCAAGACAAGGAGAATATTGGCGGCAATAATAGCACACCAAAATATATGATAAATTATCAATCTGCCAATGACCACACGAAAATAAAGAGAAGATTTGACCAATACTCCATAAAGCTCCCAAGAGTCGAAGATTAAAAGCAGAACTAACAATCTACCAATAAATCAGGCAATATAAATAACGCATAAAACCCAAGGCATAATCTCTACAGCTATGATGACAAAGACTCATTGGATGTTTGGTTAGCTATAAGTATGGAATTATTCTAGTGAAATGAGCAGGATCAACAAAACTCAAAACTGTTACATTGACTGATTCCTTCCTGCCACTCCTGGTTTGGCATTTCAGAGGCATGGACTGAAGAAGCCCCCTTTCAAACACAGCATTAGATCATTAAAAAGCACCAAATCCAATTTGATTGAGAGCTGATTACTTTTATCAAACGTGCTTGCTTAGTACAACAGAACAAGAAAACAGCAACCAAACCAAAATTCAAATGTAAATACCTATCAACTTCCACCATTGGACAGAAGCACGACTTGCTAGGAGATGAAACGACATTCAAGCTGCAAGAGAATGTCAAAAGTAGAAATACACATTCTTATTGAGCGACTGTAAAGAATAGATGAAACAACCAATGAATATCAATCAGCAAATACATACAAATTGAACTACTTCCATCTCGTATCAATTAACTGGCAAATTAAAATAGAAAACCACTGAAATAAAGATGTATATTGAGCTTGTGACATTCAGTTCACATCTTTCAGTCGTTTTATCAATGTATCAAGAGATTTCTTCTTTGTATTTTGCTTCGCTCCCCTAGTGCCAAATGATCCAAATAGCCTGTCTGATGGGTCCCTTAACTTTTCAGAAATGGCTACCACTTTCCTATAGTCCAAAGCATTGTAACTTCTCTCTCGGATAACTGGATTCAGGAAGTTTTCAGGATGATTGCTTAAGAGCAGGTTTACTAGTTGCCTTGACTCAATAAGTGCAGCTTTCAACTGGTTTGATTCAGCATCATTCAAAACCGAAGATTGGCTTTCTGCAAAAGATTCCAACAGGCGTACATCCACATCAAGTCCCATTATAGCATTTACATTGAATCTTTTCACTGTTTCCCCATTTAAAGTGCCAACAATCACCCCGGATATGTGAGAAAGAACATCTTGGAGAACCCTCTTCAGAACCTGGACAGGCAAGATTTGTTGAGCTGTAGAAACCAGAGTTTCTAGGAAAATTAACACCTCATTCACATACTCATTACCACCCTGTTGAGTATCATCAGCCATCCAGTTCACATTCTCAATCAGTGTCAAAAATCCATCAACCTTCTGCTTAAGCAATCCAGATAGCATCTCTTCGGCTGCATCTCGTGCTTTTGTCAGAGGAAATTGCTTTCTACTCCTCTCAGTCATCCTCAAAGGAACCCCTGAAAGTTGTGCAGCATGACGAAAGAAGAAATCACAGGCTCGCTCAAAAACAGCCATGTTAGCAGCCATTTGCATGGCCTGAGTAACTCCGTTGACCGAAGTATTGATGATCTTCAGCAAGGCTCCGTCTAAAACCTCGGCCAATAACCTATCTAAATACCTCTTCACCACATCATAAAACTCAAGCTGCCCACCATATGACAAGAAACTCACGGAATCCTCAATAAATGACCTCACTATTCTACAACAGTCAGGCACCATGGAAGAAAATGGCACCACATAAGGGAATGCCGGCATAATATTTGATGTTTGCAATTGAAAAGACAATACATTCATCGAATACTCATACTCTTTCTTCAGATACATCTGCTCAAGCTTATCAGCAGCAAGAGCCTCAGTAATCTGCTTACGGCAATCAGACAACAAAAGCTCATGGTACTTATCCCTGTGCTTACTCAAAACATCAAGCAAAGCTTCCGTGGTATATCCATACCTACGCAACGTAACACCAAGCAAACTCACATAATCCTTAATCAAAAGCAAATGATTAGCCGTTTGCATCCTGGAAAATTGATCCTCTAAAACAGAGCACATTTTATTAACAGCCGTATCCCACAAGTTCTCAACTTCCATCTTAGAAATGAGCCCCCCGCCGGTTCTCAAAACTCGATCCTCGACAATAAAGAACCCGGCAATTTGAGCAAAGAAAGTCTGATGAGATTCCAAAAATGGAGTCATTGAAGATACCTGGAAATCGGAGGTCAGCTGCAGCTTCCTGTTGTCGAAATAATACTGCCGGAAACGATCCTCAAGCCCAAGAGTCTGATGTATGTGATGGGCCCGGTACAAAGGCATCAAATCAAACCCGAAATCTCCAACTCTGGGGTCACCATCAAGCCCGTCATCGTCTTCCTCTTCCAAGGCGTACACACAATCTCTTAAACTGAGCCGACTCTGTTCTTCGGCTTGCCTTTGCTTCATCCTAAGCTCTTCTTCTCTTTGCCTGGCAGCTGAGGCTTGTCCAATCGCGAGTTGACCCAGGTTCCGACTCACCGTCCGAATCTCCACCAGCCAATCACCGAACTCCTTGCTCACTTTCCTCTCTATGTGCGCCCGGATTTCCGGGATCTGCTTCTCCAACATCCGCCGCAAGGTGGAAGAAGGCGTCTTGCTCAACAGCCCTCTCTCGATCTCTTCCACGCACTTCAACGCCATGTAGAAATTGTTCTTCGAGAGATGGGAATTGGTGCGTGAGCAGAGCTCGACGAGATTGGTACAGGTGCGGAGGGATTCAATGGCGAGGGTGATGTTCCGGCACTTGTTTCTGGCCTCCACGAACGAATCCAGTGACGTCAGCAGCGGGACGGCGACGGACTGGAGCTGGGAGTTGGAATTGGAGAGGGCGGTTTTGAGCGAATCGACGTCGGAAAGGAGGGAACGGAGGTCGTCCACGGCCATGATGAAGTCCTGGTAGTGGGCCCTGCAAACGTCCTCGATTTCGGATTCTTTGGATCGAGCGAAACTCCGGAGCGAGTGGAGCAAGGTTTCCGGCTTACCAGATGCGAAGGCCTTCCGGACGAATGGACCCAGGTCTTCGCCGTTGCAGATGGCGACGGATAAGAGGAGCTGGTCTTGCTTGTCGGCGGAATCGCCATTCTCGGCCGGAACTACTTTCCGGCGCGTCTTGGCGGTGGAATTCATTGAAGACGATCGATGACTTTTTTTTCTCTTTCAACAGCTAAAAAGAGACTGACGGAGACGTTAAAAGAAAATTGGGAGGGGATTTAGGGGAAAGAGGAAATAATGGGAATCGTGGATTTGGAAATGGATTGAGGCCGCCGTGTTTTCGGTTAGGACAATTCTTTTTTTCCATTTTTTTCTTCTTTTCTTCCACTTTGACTAAATTGCCCAGCAGGTTAACTGGTTTTTCCTTTTTACTGCGGTCAATTTTTTTCCCCTTTCTTTTATACATTTCCTTTAATAGCGCATATTATTATACTCATCATACTTATATTATTCACTCATGCTCATCAACATTATATATAATTGCAGAATATTTTCTTTGTTTTGGTAGTCTTTCCCATTTGGATTGCATTTAATTTTTATCAAACATCAAATAATTTGATAATAAATAAGAAAATGATGTTGTAATTTAATGTCTTTTCTCATCTGGTGAAAAACTCAAAAGTTCTCAATTTCTTGTTTGATATTAAAAAAAAAAAAAAAAACTCCACTAACTACTTAAAACTGAAGCAGTTTTGCTTGTCTATACAATTTTTTGGTTTCTCATCTTCCTTATGATCCTCTTCCATCATGTTTCTTCCAAATTAATTAAGAATCAATTTATAACTTAATTAATTACCTTTAATAGTTTCACCCTTTCGTTCGTTCTGAGGGATTTGTAACTGCAACACCACCACTTTATTATAAATTGAAACCACCAAATGGTACATATTGTGTTCTTCTTGTTAGTTCTAATAGTTCTACTCCTCTTTCAAATTGCTGAACACATCAGAGCCAACGTTGCATTATCATTCCAATAAAGAGACGATATGTATTCTTTGACCACTGAAAACTAAATTGGCACTCTTTTTTTTTTTATGGTGAGATGCAACTCTTACAAGTACTTCAAAAATTTGTCAATCCATGTCTTCCAGCAAAAATTATACATAGATTTGTTTGCTTTTTTTTTTTTCCGTTTGCTTATTTTCCAATTCTCTGATTCTTATAGGGAAATAGGAGACACAGCTTGCCAAAAACTTACGATGCACAAAATTTTAGACTAAGTTCATATATTGAACCCATCCGTGAAGCATAGAGTACCAAACTACCAATACCGAGAATGATGGCTCGATAAATGGTTTCAAAATACAATTATGAACACATGGTATTTCAATTTAGTTTCAATAGTATATCTCAATAGTATATCTATTTACAAGAAACTATTGATTCTCCAAGAACGCCCTAGCCCCTAAGTAATAATCATTTACACATTTTTTGATGATTTTGTCTTCATTATGAATTTTCTAACTCTTTTCTAAGTATTTCGCGTTCTTTTTTTTTTTTTTTTTTGGTCTAATTGGAAATGAGTTGAAGATTGAAGTTTTGAAGAGTTCTTATAAGTCCTATTATTTGTTAATTTGATTTATTTTGTGACTTTCTTAATATAAAGTGTTTAGAGAAATGTATACTTAATTTTGTCTTGTCGATTAATTTATTTAGACACATGATTGTTAAATTAGTTTAACTATCTCTGATTTTGGGTGAAGAAATTTTTCTTCACATATAAATTTCTCCAAGGGTGTAGAATTTTCTTCAAAATTCTACTTTTACGATGTATGTTACTTTTAATTAAATAAATTTATTTTTCCCTTTTGATTCATATTGAGTGACTATATATTTCTTACATTTTATTATTACAAGCACGCGCGAAGCGCGTGTGGTTCCTCTAGTATATTATAATTGTAGAATAACCTTAAAAGTTTGGTAGTCCTCATTTAGTTTTTTGTTTAGTTTTTTTTTTTTTTTGGGTTGCCCCTCATCTAATTTGGACAATAATATTTACATTTTCGCTAATTTATTTCATTATCATGTTACTTATTGCCCATTATCTTAAAATTTATGCTAATAAAGTACTCCCTTATGTCCACGTCTATGATAATAAATTGTCATTCATCAGAAAGCAATTTATAGTGAACCTTTGATCTACCCTTTCATTAAATTTTATCTTTAAGATTACAAAAAAAAAAAATTATTATTACAGAATTTGTTCAGCCTAAAAACGGTTTTGGTGATTTTAATCACTTTGAATCTCAAAATGTCTTTTCTTCTTCTCTTTTTTTTTTTTTGTAATAGATTTGTAAATGATAGTTTAAATTGTTCTACAACTGAAAAGAAAATCAAAAGTCATTTAGTCTAAATTTACTTATATATAATTTTAAAGAGTTCACGTTTTTGTCACTTCTCTTCTTTCTTCCTTTCTTTTTTTTTTTTTTGTTTCTTTTAAGTTTTTTACTGTTATCTTTCATTTTCAAGTCTATCAGAATTAATCATCCTTTATTATTCATCTCCATGTTTATCTTCTTGAATTTAATGTTTTTTTTCTTATTTTTTTTAGTTGTTCCTTTTTTTTTTTTTTTGTGATACAGAAACTTAATTTTCTTTTATTTTTTACTATTCATACCCTGTTTTTTGCAATCAAGATAAAATGTGTCACTACCATTGAAATAACAAGTGACGAGTTTTAGTGATAACATTTTGTTGAATATATATATATATATATATTTTATTTCTGATAAATTTGTTAATACATTTTGTAGATAGTGTGTTAGACAACAATGTAACTTACTATTTTTTCTTTATATAGTTTGTATTATGTTATTATACATAGCGTATGCGCAAAGCGCGTCTGATCCATCTAGTATAATTATAATTGCAGAATAACCTTAAAAGTTTGGTAGTCCCTCATTTATTTTTTTTTGTTTTTTGTTTTTTTCCCTCATCTAATTTGGACAAAAGCATCTGTATTTTCTCTAATTTATTTCATTATTATCTCACTTATTGCTCATTATCTTCGAATCTATACTAATAAAGTACTCCCCTTATATCTACTTTTATGATAACAAATTGTCTACATAGTGAACTTTTGATCTCCCTTCCATTAAATTTCATCTTCAAAGACTATATAAAAAAAAATCATTATTAGGTGGGTTTGATCATTCTAAAATGGTTTAAGTGATTGTAACCTTTAATTTCATTTTTAAGATTACCAAAAAATTATTTTTTATTATTAGATAAATTTGACCAGTCTAAAAATATTTTGGTGATTCTATTCACTCTAAATTCCAGAATGTCTTTTCTTATTCTCTTATTTTCTTTGAATTTAATAGATTCCTAAATGATAGTTTAAATTGTTCTATAATTAAAAAGAAAATCAAAAGTTATGTAGTCTAAATTTACCTATATATAATTCTAAAGATGGTATGTTTTCTTCACCTCTCTTTTTTTTTCTTTTTCTTTTTTTTTTTCGTTTTTTGTTTCTTTCAAGTTTTTTGCTTTTATATCTCATTCTCAAATCTATTAAAATTAAACATCATTCATTATTCATCTCCATGTTTATATTCTTGAATTTAGTTTTTTCCTTCTTTTTTTAGTTGTTTCTTTTTTTTTTTTGGTGGTAGAGAGACTTGATTTTATTTTATTTTTCAGTGTTCATGCCCTTTTTTTTCGCAATTCGGATAAAATGTGTCACTACCATTCAAATCACAAGTGACGAGTTCCATTGATGATATTTTGTTTAGTATATATTTTTATTATTGATAAATTTATTAATACATTTTGTAGATAGTGTGTCAGACAACAACAACAACGTAAGTTACTATTTTTTCTTTATATAATTTGTATTACGTCATTATACATGAAATATGCGCAAAGCGCTTTTGATCCATCTAGTAGTTAGTAAATTGTACTAAATGTAGTATCACTTTTGTCCCAAAATAGTCCAAGTTGAATTTAAAAATTTACACGTGGACTTTTTTTTTTGGACACAGGAATTATAATTCACACATTGTAACATGGATTATTTTTCTGCGAATACGTAAATGTGATAATAGGAAAAGCCTCTATACTTCCGAGGTGAAGTTTTGGTTGATTGAGATTTCAATTTCTTGGTTTGCGAATTGAAAGATTGGATTTATGGCACTTGAGTTATTCTCCATCTTCTCAAAATATATGTGCTTTTACTGTTACTTCAATGAAACTGAAAATTAGTGTTTGATGCATACTTTTGTTTTGGAGTTTGCTTTTTTTTTTTTTTTTTTTTAAGCTTTTTGATCGTGTGTTATTGTAACATGATAATCTTATTTAAATTTATGTCAATCATCCATTTGGTGGAAAATCATTATGATTTATTATATTGCTTTTAAAGTCAGCTGGAAAGTTAAATTATAATTATGTTTTTCCCACCCATTAATAGTCATAGTTCTTATAATTTGATAATCTTACTTAATTCTGAATGTTTAATACTGAATTCATTAAACAGTTAAGGAATAAGTCGTAAGCTAACTCTTATTGCTTATATTTTGTACTGCAGTTTCAGCACCACTTATTTCATTAAGAGGTTATTTTTTATTATCAAACATGCTGAAATGAAAAAATGTTTAATACAATAATTTTAAGCATTAAGTGGAAATCATGATGTTACATACTTAGGTCATTTCCTATCAATGAGTAAATTTATTTTTCTGTCAAAGATGTCATGAGTACAAAAGAGGGAAACAATTATTGAGGAGACTAAAATATCATTCAGTCAACAAACTAATTAGAATTCTATGGTGTAGATATAAAAATATTTTTGGGTAGTTCATTTGATTATTTGTTGACAATTATCATTTTGGATAAGTTTTTCTTCTTTTTTTTCCGAATAAAAGTTTTTCTTTTAACATGTATCACGTATGACACCTTTTTTTAAAGAAAGATTTCAATTACTTTTTCTGTTTTCTGTAGTTTTTTATTTTCAAGCTCAGCAAATAGTTTTCTTAGAATATAAGTACAAATCAACAAAGTGAACTATTCATATTATTCAACAATATTTAAGGATTGATCTTCGATGAAACTAGTACGGTTTAATGCAAAATAATATATGGATATTACAAAAATCACGCTTTAATTTTAGTATTTTTGTATCTCACACTAAAATGTATGTTGTTCATTCTTTTTTCTTGAAATATGTATGTTGCACATGACTACATGTAAATGTACTTTGCCAATTGACGTCATTTATCAATCATCATACGCTGCTTTGCTGGTATCATCCTAATTTTTTGTGATTGAATAAGAAAGATTGTTGTTTTTACATTAAAACAGATTGTCTTTTTAGTTGTGATTACTCTTCTGTTGTAAGTATAAGACACAAATTTAGACAAAATTAAATGTTAATTTGCACCTTATTATTAGGACAAGAGGGAGTAACAAATAAGAAGTCACATGGTGTCTACTGTAGGCAACAGTGACTAACCCACTCGGTGAATTATAGGTACCTCAATAAGTAAGATAACTGGCCAAAGTATTTAAAGTTGCTCTATGCCCACAGCGAAGTTCAAACCATCGACTTATGGTTTAAGGGTGGAGGAGTCTCTTCCACTCCACAACCACCACTTTGGTTAATTAATATATTTTTTTAAATAAGGGAAAGTTTATTCGAACCGTTATAACCGTTGGGAGTTGCACAAAGAGGAGCAACATCCATGATTCGCGGCACCACGTTGCTACACGCGCCGACTCTGCGTCTCAGAAATTTAACCACCACCACCACTCACTCCACGGTTGCAAAGCCCGGAGGCTCGCCCTACGCAGCCATGGCCTCGCCTCCTTCCGTCAGAATTGCCGTCGTCGGTGACGTTGTGAGCTCCGTACCTTTCTCCCTATGATTTTGGTTACATATTTACAATTGTTTTCGACCGTAATTTCTAACTTGATTTTCTTGGTGACTCGAATTGGTGGGATTTTGAAGCACGATGATTGGAGCCTAGAAGAAGATACAAAGGCCCTTCAACTGCTCAAGGTTTTATTCCCTTGAACTCATCTGGATATTACAATTTTCTAGATGCATTTCTATGTCTGCTAGTTGATACAGTTGACTTTAGATTTTCTTTTTCTTTTTTTTTGTAATTTTCAATTTTTTTAGTTTCCAGTGTAATTAGCAGTTCATGTTAATGAATAAGTGTAATTGGCAGTTGATGTTATTTGAATATGTTGCTGATGAAATGATTGTGGAGACATTTTGTCTTCTTCCTGTTTTTTCAAATGTTTGGTTAAGTGGAGAAAACAAAGTGTGGAGTTCTTTTTTGAGAAACTTGATTTTTTTGGAAGTTGATTGAATGGAAATTTTGAGCTGAGAAAGTTTGATATTTAGATAAATGAAAAGTCAATCTTCAATTATACCTTATGCATAGAGATACAAGAGGCGCTGTGATGACCTGCCAGATGCTCACAATTGTGAGATTATGTCCGTGCCATCATGGTTGGTTCGTTTCTTGTTTGGTTTTCATTGTTGGCTCGACATAGTTTAAATGGTGCAGCTAGTACTACTTGAAGTAGGTACTCTAGTCTGCTTTCTACGTGCATCACTGGTTGGGAAAGGGTTCTTTTGCCAGTGACAGAATTATGTCTATTCACTCTCCAGTTTGAGGGTTGGACTTGAACCAGTACCTGATGATATTTGCTGCTAGTAAGAGAATTCATTTCGTCCTGAAGTCCTAGGTTATTCTTTTCCACCTTCTGTCCACAAAAATTTCATGAGGAAATGGAAAAGATTGTAGTTTACTGAATAAAGTTGAAAAAGAGAGTAATAACGCCACAGCTATTCCTAATTAGCTAAAAGATGACATGATATCTGTTGAACCTTTTTCACTTGCTTTCTGTTTCTTATTTCATAGCCATAGTAACTTCTTCATTCAATACTTTTCTGTGTTATTTAATCAGTAGTTTATTTATTTCTTTCATCATTGAAATTGAATAATTGCTTCCTGAGAGCTTAATTTCATGTAGTTTCCTTGTTGAGCACTTTGTTAGTTTGGATTTATTCGAGATTTTTCCCGAGTCTGATGTTTATTTATTTTGCCAAAATGCAGCCGGATTTGGTACTGTTCACAGGTGCGTTCTCTTGTGCTTTTTCCACTTCAGGATCTTGGCAAAAATGCTACGAGCCTTGGCTTTTCCAGTTCTCTAAATTGTTCCATTTTTCTGCTTTTAGCTCAATTCACAAACTTTCTGACCTAATGTTTCCTCTAATGTCCAAAATAGGTGATTTTGGCAATGAAAATGTTGAACTTGTTAGAAGTGTTGCAGATGTTGACATTGCCAAAGCAGTAATTCTGGGGAATCATGATGCCTGGTCCACACAAAAATTCTCAGCAAGGTATATTTAACACATTCACATTGGGGATGTGGTAGCTTTAAAAATGTAGTTTTGAGCAGAAAAAATTTGCTGCTTGCTAATTTAAGTTACTACTTTTAACCTTTCGCAATTAGACTCTGTATTGAGACGATACACATTAATGAAAAACGAGTATGGCTACCTCACTAATTAGTTTAGACTTTTGAAGCAGTGAAAATTCGCTGAACGTTAGTTTAAGATAGTACTTTTAACCTTTTACAATCAGACATCTCACCTGGATGGGTTCACAAAAAGTTAATTGATTGTTTAAGGAGATACACCTTGCTTAATCGAGAGTGAAAATATCTCTTCATTCATTGATTATATAAGTCAATATATATGGGGCTCTTTACACTAATCAATGCTCTAAACTGCTCGTCATTGTCTTCTTTTTTCTTTTTCTTTTTTCATTTTTTAATCCTTTTCTATCCATTTTCAGTGAAAAGGATCCTGTCCAATTGCAGCTGGAGTGGTAAGTTTTTATAAATTTGACAGGCTTGGACATTAGATGAATCTGTAAATAGTAAATTATGAGAAGTTATCTTGCACAATTTATAAGAATACTCTATGAGTGGGAGTGACTTTGTTAAATTATATCCCCCAGGGAAACCGCTTCGAACAAACATGTTTTTACAGAAAGAAAAAGGAATCTATGGCCATGACTGGTTAATTTCTGGTGTGTTTAACCTGATAAGATCCCTTGCATCATTTGGCGAGACCTTATGAAGGATGGACACACTCTTAATTTGTCAGTATTATGGTCTGCATGTGTTTGGAGGCAGCACATTTTCTTGATGAATCTTAGGATTGGAAATTTAGAAACAAGTTATAAATGAGGCTTGATAAAAGGTCAATAATATTGTCACTGTCTTTCTGATGAAGATTGAAATCCAATACTTAAAATAAGTGACTTTTTTTTCCCACAAAAATTCCACTTTTATGCATCAGTTTTTTTTTTCAAAGACATTTTCAAATCTCTATGTCTTTTAATGGGTAGTCTAGGTGATGAGCATGTTGGTTATGGACACATTGATTTTCCAGCAGTAAAGCTAACTGTTGTTGGTGGGCGACCATTCTCTCATGGTGGTCCACGTCTGCACCAGAGGAGGCTTCTCAAAGCTAGGTATGTTGTATTTTGGTCCAAATAATTTATTACCTCTACTCTTTTACATGTATATCTTGCCTGACTTCAGTGGAGATCAAACCGGAAATTCTGCTTGTTGTGTTTATTCTGATGTTAAAATTGATGAATATTTTATGTTGATATATTTCGAGGACTAAAAATTTCTAAATCGATTACCTCAAAGAGCTGTTTGGTAAATTTACAACATGCAAAGAATGAGGAAACAGACTACAAACATTGTCATCTTTCATCATGCACCAACTCTAACCCGCCTATTACAGCTTCTGCTTCTCACTACTTTAGACTGCAGTATCTCAATTGTGCATTTTCTTGAATCCCATTGCTGAATCACAGCTAGGTGTGGGATCCAGACGTTTATAGTGATAATGGTTATACTCTGAAAATGCATATGATAAATCGAACGCGATAATGGATAAGGGGACTGCAATTCTGGTAGCAAGAAAGATTCTCTTCTGTGTACTTAACCTTTTTATGAGGATTGGGGAAGTAAGCTTTTATCAGTATTATGTATCTTCCATAGTAGAAGATTGCATGAATGAAAAGTTTGAAGCATTCATTCTAATAAAAGCTTTCATCTTTCAAGAACAATAAAATGAAGTCTTCGTTCTGTTGTCGAGGTTGGACTATGTGTTTCATTTCTTGCCATCATGCTCAGGATGTTTAATATGGCGTCTCTTCCTCAGTACTTATTTTTAACAAATCAATTATGGATGTTCCTTTTCAATTTGGGATTGAGGATTTCCTTTTTTTATGCGTGTTACTGATGCAGCTTCGGATCTCCTCCTAACTTTTCCTTGCTACTTTAAGCATGTTTCTTTAATTTTCTTTATGCATTTGTGATTGATTCAACTTAATCTAAGTGTGTATGCTTATCTATTTCATTAATTTAAGTGTATATCGGCATGTATTTCCTTATTATTTTATTTGATACTCTAATTTTTGTTCATTTAATTTATTTGTCAACACTCTGGTCCATATAGGATGTGGTGGTCTACCGTCCATTTTAATAATTTTCATCCAACTTTTTTCTGTACTTCTCTTTTGTGTGTGTGTGCGCGCGCGCGCGTTTAATTTCTTTTTCTGTACTTAAGACCAGAAAGTGTGGAGAAGCTGTTTAATTTCTCCATTTCATCCAACCTGCTTGAAAGTATGCAGAACACATCTTTTAAAGCAATTCTTGTTCTCTTCAATGATAGATAGTTGACATTTAGAACTTTTTCAAATTTCATGGTTCCACTGCGTCTACAATAATTCTATGGTGCCACTCTTTATTTTTAAAATGTACTTGAATCATGGTAAGACTTCCAGTGACCCCTCTAAGCTTCTAACTGGACACGTATTCCTTCTCTTTCATGTTGATCAGAACCATATCACTAACAGATAAAATACATTCACAAATGAATTTTAGTGAAGTCGGCGATATCATCAATAGCTATAGGAAAGTGCATGGACTCAGTTAATACTGATTCAAAGTTTTCAGGAAGTCATTGGATATCTCAAGTGGTGTCTTCATACATATTATTGCATCTTTTTAGCTATCTTTTATAACTTTTGTACAATCTTCTCTATTCTTTTCTGACACTTGCTACATTTAATCCTAAGTAACTATATCATCTGCTTTTTCATGATCAATAAATACGATATATGAGTCCTAACTGAAAGAAATTACTCTTAAAATCATGTCTAATTTCCTCAATCTGGCTTCCTGAATAGCAATCTTATTCTTTTGATTCGTGTTTCCTGCATTATTATCAGCACCTTTCAAGTTTAACTCAATCCTTCTAGAGATATTGGGGTTGGTTCATCCATCTATTTGCTGTGCAAGTAGCTGAGGATTACGTATGTTTCAGACAAATACCATCTTTGTCTGTGTAATGTACATTTTTCTACTTTGGGGATCAATTTCCTTTCTGTTCCTTGCAGCTAGTCAAATATGTAGTAGAAAACATGTCTTATATCTTTTGTTCTAGTTATTAACCTACTCATTTCCTGCTTGTGTAGATATAATGTGTCTGGTATGGATGAAAGTGCAAAAAGAATATACCAAGTTGCATTAAAGACTCCAGAAGAACATTCAGTCATTTTACTGGCACATAATGGACCTACTGGTAATACCATGTTACACATCTAACTGGAACTACTTTCCTGTGTACACAAGACCTTTAGGTTATAAATTAATTTAAGTTATTAATATATCTTTACAGGCTTAGGATCTGATGCGAATGATATTTGTGGAAAGGATTGGGTTTATGGCGCTGGTGATTATGGCGATCCTGGTAAATCTTAGCAAAGTTGTCTCTTATAGCATTTTAGTATCTGGAATATTGGTAATCTTCTTTCTTACATTTTGTGTTTTGGTTCGATTTTCAGCACATATATCTACATTTTCAATACACCTTATCACATTTTAAGACACCTTTTCATCGATACTCGGTGCGACTTGTTACATAGAAAAGGCAGGAAACAAAATCTAATCCAATGCAATACCGAAACACTCTCCGTACAGATGTGTGTACAACGTATCAATCTTTATAAATGTCCCAGTTTGTCCTTTCTCATATTACATTGAACTGAAAAGGGTTAATGATTTCTGAATGAACATGCAATGGTGCAGATTTGGCAGCGGCAATCTCTCAGTTAAAAGAGACCACAAATTTATCGATCCCATTGGTCGTGTTTGGTCACATGCATAAACGGCTAGCTGACGGAATCGGTCTTCGGAAAATGATAGTTGTTGGAGATAACGACACTGTATATTTGAATGGAGCCATAGTTCCTAGGGTTAAAAGACAGGGAATGGAACAAGAAATGGGTGAAAGCAGCGGGAGCTCTATACGTGATGCTGATACAGTAGTTACCGCAGCGTCATCAGAATCTGCCGGTACATTGAGGGCATTTACTGTAGCAGAAATGTTGAATGGAAGAGTGGAAAAAGTTGCAGAAACTTGGGTTTCAGTAAATGGGGAAAACATCACCTTACAGGAGGAACACATACTATTTAGCAGGGTAAATTCAGGTCATAGCCAGAGTCTGCACCGCAGTCTGTTTTGACCCCAAAAATTTGCAACATCTGTATGTAAAGACTAAAATCTGTGGCCATGGACATCTTTCGAAGGCATACAACATGTAAATTTCCATCGCTTTAATAAATGACTTCGAACTTGTTACAACTTGCACCACTTGAGACTACTTTTCGTATCCAAACTGTTTGCCGGGTTGCCAATTTGATGCGGTACTTTACACCAAGTTAGCAACGAATGTTGCTTTTACAATAGAGGTGAAATTTTGTGTAAGGATCTTACATTGATTTTTGTATTTTTTTTTGGTTAACAATATTTGTGATTATTATTCCAATAGGGGATTGTATTTTTCCTTACTCACGATCATTATTTCTTGCTTTGCCAGAAAAGAAAAATGCCAACCTTTTCTTTTGGTGCCAGTCTTTTGATGACAATTTTTTTAACATTCGCTTTGACATGATTTGGTTAATCAAAACAAACCCCCGATCCAAAAAACTATTGACTAGTTTAGATTTTTTGTTTTTAATGTATTAACTCTATTTAATTGGGTGTTGATCTTGTGCACTTTAAATTGGTTTTTTTTTTCTAAAAGAAATACTAGAGTTGACCCCAAAAAAAAGTACTAAAGGGGAGAGTGATTAATTCAGGTTGATTAAAACTCAAAAACTACATTGGGGAAAAAAAAAAGAAAAACAAAGAAGAAGGAATCTGAAATTCACATAGAACTGCAAATATAGGTTTTCGCAATTCAAGCAAGTTAAGAGGGTTTTGTTGACTCATTACCTTTTTAACCACATCATTGTTGAAACTCATTTTATTTTATTTTTTTAACATTTTTCCTTTCATCTTCAATTAACTTTAGTAGCTAGCTTTTTTTGCTAAATGCACCAACTTCCAAGCACTCAATGACTTTTTGACCCAGTCTTTGCCTCTAAATTGAAGCTTTCTTTGTATTTGTTATGCTTTTTAACTATGGTTGAGAATATCCATTTTCTTCTGTTTGTTGAAAGCTATACAAGAAAGCAACATATTTGGTTAGAATATATCACACATCTTTGTTGAGTGTTGGTTGTTTAACTTCTTATGGCACTTACCAAACAAAGTGTCACCACCATCCTTTGTCCATCATGAACAAAAAAGGTTCAAAGAAAAACCAAAAACCAACCATGAAAGATACTTATGAACATGATTAATGCAACAATTGTTTTACTATTGTTTTATACTTTTATTTGGAACATAATTTGTAGATTCTCCATTTTCATTGCTATCAATTTTCCTTCTCTTTCTTATGCAAAAGTAGACAAACGCTAGGAGTAATATATAGTTACTCTACAAAAATATGCATGCAACCCATAATGGTTCACTTTCAACACAAGTTACGTACAAAGCTTCATAGTTGTTACATGTGCCTTGTTGAAATACTCGTTGATCACCGAAGTATTTGGTTACACGTATATCTCATCAGATGAGACACCTTACTAATATAATATTGAAAAAAAACAACAAACTTTAGAAGTTTAATCAAGTAGCAATTGTTATCTTCTGGAATATTGAAAAAACAACTTACTTTAGAAGTTTAAGTAGCAATTGTTATCTTTCTAAAAGTAACTAATGACATTTAAAATCTGACAAATAATAATAAACACGATTCTATCTAATAAACACTTAAACGGGAAGTATGGAGGTTAAACACTAAATACAAACTCCTTTTGATAATCACTTAAGACGTGAAGTTTAAAGCTGAATAACAAATGTTACTCCAAAGAATGATGTCTCCAAGGAATAAATCTTCAGTACAATCGCTGTATCACGCCAGGTCAGCTGTACATTCTATATGCAAAAACAGAAAAGGTAATATTAATATGTGAGAGAGAGAAATTTATAGGATAAAAAAAACAAATATTAATTCTTATTGATTTGTTGCACTAAAAAGATGAGTACAACTATTGTATATTAGATTCTCTCGTCTGGAAGCTATAGCAACCGTGATCAATGAACGGATAAGTATTCAAACGAATCAATCAATTAGTCATTACTGGTTTCTAGTAGATGATATTATTACTATCCATCATGTGACATGTTAATAGCAGCACCTAGCCTTTTGGAACCCACAGCTCCATAAATGAAAGTCTAACCACCATTAAGGACCATGATAGTGACTTGTGAGACCTTCTAAAAGTTTCAGATGGAATGGTCCTAATCAACCATAACAATAATGAAGCTCAAATGCAGTATTTACCTTTTCCTCTTTCTCTTTTATGGATTCTCTGATCCTAGGCATGGTGTCCATGTCATGTTAGTTTTACAATCATTTTTTTTAATTATGTCATTTAATACTTGATCAAAATTTCAACTAGTTGTTGTATAAAACCCAAAATTACCAAAATTAGAAGTTTAACAAATGATTCCCAAATTCCCCTCACATTTTTCATATGAATTAGTCAAGACTGAAGACAGGGTGTAATAATGTAACTTGTGTATAACTTTGAGACAGAGTGTAATGTCATAAATTAATAGTTCACTTAATGATCGAAACCGTTAGTATTCATGTAATAATCGTGATAACTCTTGAATAATTGGGTGCACTATTCAGTCTATAAACACTCTAGAATTTCTTATTAACTTTTGTCTGTAAAAAATAATGGAAGAAGTAATTACTCTATCTATTTAAAAAACAGTCCACGTTGAGTATTGATATTTTAGTATTCCTTCCGTCCCATAATTATTGTCCAGTTTGAGTTTTCATTTATAATTCAAATTGTATTAAAAGTGAAATTTCAAACTGGACAATAATTTTGGGACAGGGAGAGTATCCACGTTGAGTATTGATATTTTAGTATTCCTTCCGTCCCATAATTATTGTCCAGTTTGAGTTTTCATTTATAATTCAAATTGTATTAAAAGTGAAATTTCAAACTGGACAATAATTTTGGGACAGGGAGAGTATAAATTTTAAAAACTCAATATGGATTATTTTTATACGAGAGAGGATGTGTAAATCAATTTTACAATCTAGCCTTAAGTTCTTAAGAATTTGAGCAGACATTACCAATTAAGAAAAAAAAAAAAAAAACTTTTACTTAGAAACTTCAACTTGGAAAAACGAAGAACCAAAGAAGTAGAGTTGGAGTTGGAATATGCAGCCATAAACTTTTGACCATTCAGAGAGAGATGTGCTCATCACGACCAACATGCAAAAGGTATACAACTATATAAACTACTTTCTCTTGCTTTTAATTAATCTCTTGGATTTTTGTATTTTTCTGTTTTAAGAATTTTTTTAGTTTCCCAATTGGATTTGGCTGCAGGCCTTCAGCCTACAGTAAACCCCGCTTAGATCGGATCTTTCTTCCATTTTTCCCACCAAATAAAACCAACCAAAACCAAAAAACAGGAATCATATAAAAAAAGAAGCAAAAGAAAAAAAAGAAAAAAAAAAGGAGGAAGCTTACCAATTTCCCAGGTTCTTCTCACCAGGGGTAAAAAAAAATCCCAGAAATTAGATAAAGGGAACCTTCATGTTTGGCTCATTTTCATGGCATGAGCCATCACTGATTGTGTTTGAAGGTGATTTATCTTTGTTGGGTTGGTTTTAATGGGAAATGTAACATCAAATGTGGCTGCAAAGTTTGCATTTTTCCCTCCAGACCCACCAACATATGATGTTTACAAAGATGAAGATGATGGGAAGCTTATCTTCAGCGGATTAACGGCTGATAAAAATGTGGATGTTCATTTGTTGGATACAAAATGTGGGAATAAGATTGTAGCCACCTTTTGGAAGCATCCCTTTGGAAGGTTTACCATTTTGTACTCCCATGGGAATGCTGCTGATTTGGGCCAAATGCAAGAGCTTTTCATCGAGCTCAGAGCGCACCTTCGTGTTAATATTATGAGGTCTGTTTTTCCTCTGTTTTTTGATAATCATATATGCATGTATTCTGACACGCCTTTGTATGGATTCTATAAATTTTTCAAGGACTTGATTTTGTTCCCCCTTTTTTGGGGGATGTTTTTGGCATTTGGTGCTGAAAAGTTTTGATTTTTTTGGGGACTTGTTGGCTTTCTTCCTAATTTCTGTATGTGTATGAGTTGGGTTCTTTTTTCTATTTCTATAATCTATGGCTTGGTTCTGTTTTGTCTCTGTCATGTTCAATTGTTCTTAAATATGTTAATTTCTCCTTACTAGAGTTACCTTTGCTCCAATCTCTCAGATTTTGAGCTTCTCCATTTTGATTGATTAAGCAATGTCAGTGGACATAATGATGTTTGTAAATTTGAATAGCTCTGGTTCGGTAACTACGTGCATATTAATTCTTCTCTCCTGCTTGAATATTATTCGTTTATTCATTGATTTCTTGCTTTCCTGCCTGAGCCTGCTGCAGTGACGCGCTTTTACATATTTCTCTGCTTAAGTAGACAGTTTGCTCTTTTAATGTACTAGCAAAAGGATTCTTTATAAATTTGTTTTCAATTAGTTTGGTTTAGGTTTTAAGGTGTTCAATCTTTTCTGTAAGTATGTGATTGCCTTACACCAATCAATACCCTCATATTTCATTAGTGGTTCTTAGAAACACGAAGTAGTTGCACGGTTTGCTTCCTCCGATTACTAAAATTTAAGTTCTTTTGCAATGATGCAGCTACGATTATTCAGGATATGGAGCTTCCACTGGTAAGGTGAGAAATGATGAGAAAGATATCTTATGTGCATTTATGGCCTCAAAATTATGATGTTTATCTTTCTGATATGTGATTTGGCTTGTGACAGCCATCTGAGTTAAATACATACTCTGACATAGAGGCTGTATTCAACTGTTTGAGGAATGAATATGAAATAAAGCAGGAGGATATTATTTTATATGGCCAATCTGTTGGAAGTGGTCCGACGCTGCATTTGGCTGCTAATCACCATAGGCTGAGAGCTATTGTTCTTCATAGTGCTATCCTTTCTGGGATTCGAGTATTGTATAATGTGAAGATGACATTTTGGTTTGACATTTTCAAGGTAAGGCTTATGGATTTCACGTCAATGGGTACTTCCGGCTGACCATTCTTTCTTTGTCACACTTTCAGATAATATCTTGCTTCTGACACTCTTTTCTGTTTTCTCACTCAGAATATTGACAAGATAAGGAATGTCCGGTGCCCAGTTCTAGTTATACATGTAAGGACAATCTCTTATTTTACACCAGACATGCTTTTACTGCATTCATTTTGTTCTTTTGCTTGGAGTCGCATTATGTCATCTAGCGAACTTTTGCTTATAAATTGAGTTGCTAAAAGGCATTGAGTATGTATGCTTAACCATTTTGCTTATTTCTGAAACTAGGGTTCCATCATCTTGATTCTTTTGATCTCTATTACTAAATTTTTATTGTGCAATCCTTCATTTCAGATGCTGTTATTTTTGTATTGGTTATGAGCTACTAGATAAGTAGGTAAACTATCGTGTACCATGTCCCTGGCTTTAGCGCGCAACTATATAGCTATTACGTGATTGAACTTTTCAATCTTTCGGTAGATAAAAGGTGTAGCAATATTGAACCAATGAAGGTATACTTTTACTAGTAATTTCTCTTGTCTAACTGCTGATACAAAAGGTCTATGAGCTTAGGATCTCTAGTCGCAGTTGATTAATTATTTTTTGTCAATCGTTAAACTCTAGTTACTGTGTTTTTCTTGTTCAATGTACCTTGTTAACACAATAGGTGAAACATAATAGCAGTCTAATATGCTTATTTGCGTTGTTTTAGATACAAAGGTAGATTTTCTACCTCATGTATGCTGCTTTTAAAAATGGTCTGGTTATTCTTCTTCCAATAGTCAGTTGTTATGAGCAGCCCAGAAGCTAAATTAGAAATTCTGGGTGCTTGATTGACTGTTGGTGAATCACATTTTTATCCTCATATTTTGCTTGTGTGTTTTGGATGTCTAACCTGATTGTTTGATGTATCACGGTGCCATTTGGTCATTAGAATCTCACTATCTAATTTGAGCAGTTTTTAGCATACATCAAATTTCTGGTTATGTGCAAAACCCAGTTTCAATTACCTCACTTGGGTTGTCTGAAATATTAGTTTTGTTTTTTTTTTTTTTCCTTGAGAATGCTGAAATATTAGTTAAGTGAATGAAACAGACATAAATACAGTCAGTTTTCACCGGCTTGAAAGATTCTCCTTTCACATTCTTCTTCAGTTCTATTGCCAATTGCTTAGTCTTGCATTTGAGGCTCTTTCAGCTGAGGGATGTGAGATATGCAAACTGGAGATTTTACTTTAGCTTCTCCTTTTTTGCTTCTCGAAGTGGATGACTGCTTGGCTGCTAGCCAGAGCTTTACGGCATCTTTCCCAAGCACTCTTTGAATAATAAATTTACCAAAGTTGGTGATCTTGTTAAAGAGAGGGCGTTTGCTAAAATATGTGGCAATGACGGTTGAACTAGGGTACTTATTTTGCTGATGGATTCAATGTATATGCACGTAGAGTATCCTTAAGAGTAGAGGGAGGATGCCATTTTACAAATTAGGAAATTACAAAATAACAAATGCAGCTAACCTGCGTAATTGCTATCATTTTCATCTGGATCACGGCCATGGAGCTGTGATCTAAAGCTTTTAAGCTATGTGACTGAGAGCTGATTGGGTTCTACAGTAGCAATGTTTATCATTCTAACTTGCATAATCCAGAAGTTGTCTTGTTATAGGCCTTCTAACCTCAGTTTTAGTAGTCAGCCGCTGACTAGGAAATCAATCAATATCACCCTTAGGAAACTGGTTATCCGTCAATTAGCTGTTCTTATTCCACCTTTTGATTGTGCATAATTCTGCTGAATCTGGGCAAGTAAAAGGGAGAATGATCGCAAATTTTCTTGTTCTTTCTGTGATGAAGGCTGAAAACCAACAAACAGGTTCTTAATTGCCTTTAAAGAAAGAAGTTTACTTGCTGCTTTTAGTATAATGCCATAGACAATGAGCTTAAGATAATTCTAGGGCCTTGGATTACCATCTTGGTTTGTGTATATGTTGTTCTGGATTGAGATTAGTTAAAAAGTACTATTAGTTATAGTGGAAATGTTAAAAATTGTATGGAAGGAAGTGCATTGTAAACATTAAAATATAAAGCTTAAAGTGAGAAGGTTTTCTCATGATTTGTGTTCAACTGAAAATGGAAGATAAGTTTTGGGTTTTATCTGCGTCGATGGCATCTCACCTAGAATATTGAGTTTAATATTTTCTATTCAAGTGTCTATTCACACTGGTGCATAAAAAGATAGGTAGAAGTGCTGACATCCAATCTTTCCTTCTCATTTCCTATTTTTTGGGGGAGAATACTCGTGTCCTTTTTTTTAATAAGAAGAATTAATTTGTAGATAACAACCGTATTTATCAATTCATCAAATTACTCCCAAGGATGCAAAATGCCACTGCTTGATTTCGGAGTTGTCCATTTTCCCGGACTGAGAAAATAATTACTACTATCTTTCCCTTATGGTACTGTTAGAAGGAAGAGTGGTGTCATTACAAATACCAAACATCATTATCAGTATTTTTTTGTGAATATGGGCTTTTGGGAACATTTTAAATCTAATTTTGATAGAAATTGGTTCCTTATCAAATGTATGATTCACTGGGTTTTCACCAGTGAATGTGGCTTCCCCAACCCCCCCACCCCAATTAAAGGAGTGCTTATCTTGCAATAGCTGGCCGATATTTCTTCATGTATGCTTCTATGGACATTGGAGGCCAGTTGGTATCACCCACTCTGTTTTACCTGGCATGCACCCTGCATATCCTTAAGTGGTTTCTAAAGTGTCAGTTGGAACTTTCTGATAGGATCATTAAATGTCATTGATAGCATCGACTCTCGTATAAACTTTTCTCTAACAGATATAAGCAGAATGTTTTTCTGGATATGAAGATATAATTCTCTGACAATTTGAGTTGAATCATGTGCAAAAGTCGGAGTATTGTTGATGTGTATGATGCTCTTTTGCTTGACAATTTAAATTTATTAGCATGTTTCTAAGATTTCCCTCTCATGAAATCAACTAGAGTCGAGAATTTTCTTGCACTGAATCATTACTTGCCAGTGTCTGACCTCTATCAACTTAAATTTGTTAATCGGCTTCAATTATCAGTCCATTCTCTTTTCCTAGGCCCTGCAACCATACTTGACTTTTCGGTTTAAGCTTCTTTAAATCCTTTTCTCTTTGGCTTTCTCTAACTGCTTCTTTAGCATGAATCTGTAGTTGTTAAATTTCTGTTTTTTTTTTTTTTTGACAGCATCTATAATTTCTTGTGGTCGATCATTCACAGGGTACAAATGACGATATTGTTGACTTGTCTCATGGAAAAAGATTGTGGGAACTTTCAGCAGAAAAATACGATCCACTGTGGGTCCAAGGCGGAGGTCACTGCAACCTTGAAACTTTCCCAGAATACATTAAGCATCTTCGTAAATTTGTGAATGCAATGGAAAAACACTCATTTTCCAAAAGAAGCAAGAGTAACCTTGGTTCAAATCAAAGTATAGCAGACGAAAAACATAATAGATGCTTGCGGTTTGCTAGAAGATAGGTGATCTATTCTTACCACATTCCCTGCCTGATACCCTGGTAGGGCCATATGCTTGTACTTAATTAAATAGCAATTTAGTCGGGGGCGCTTATTTAACGCATGCTACGTCAGATGCTAGCTGCTTTGCATATAGATTGATGCATCTGGATGTAGCTTGCTAAATTATTTGTGGTTGAGTTGGTTGATTGACAATGTTTCTAATCTTCAGAGTTGGAGTTGCTCTGATCTGATGTACATTATAAATCTCTAGGTTAGATACGAACTATTTTGTGACATGGAATGGAAACGAAATTGCTGTCATCTTTTGTGTTCCAAGTGTTCAGGCCTCAGAATTCAGATTGTTTCACTTCTGTTTCCTAGTGTTGTATAGGATTTGAAAGATTAGAAATCCTTACAATGTTGATTTTCTCATGTACAATGCAATTATGCTCCTTGCACCCTTACAGCTTTGCGTTTGTGGGAAGCGTGAGAAATGAGATTTCACTCTTGCTGTTGCCTCGTCCAACCCAATTTTAAACGCATAAAAACTTAAAGTAGGTTTCTAATCTTATAGTTGAAAGGCCATATAGCTGGTTTTCCACGAAATTTATTGCAGTATGGCCGCAAACATTGCTGTCCCGGCGGAGCTAGGGTGGACGGAAGAGTGCGGTCGCACCTGCTCATATTTTTGTAATTAATAGAGATATCCTAAATTTTCAATAGAAACTATGTGTTGAATAATTTTTCGCACATTCTACATTGATTCCCTAATGTCATTAGTAGTTTTGTCTAAATTTCGCACCCTCAATATTCATTTCTGGCTCCACCACTCCTGAGATTATGTTCTGTCTACCTTTGCTTTCTCTTGTCCCGTTTTGGTCTAGAACGGAAGAATTGTCAAGACCTTTGTGGTTCCTTTGCATGCATGAGATCAAAGTAGTGGTTTAAGTCCTCTCTGGTCTAAAAGGATAGTTTTTTTCATATACAAAACATGTAATTTTAAGATTCTGAAACTTCAACATGTAATGCCTTTAGTAGATATATTGACTAATCCATCTCATGTTAATATAGTTTATTTGCTGCATTATTCTTTTCATCATTAATATGAATGATCACAGAGTATGTTCAAGAACATTTTACTCTATGTTAATTAAATTAAATCTGATGAAATACAAAATTTCTTGATATTAAATAAACATTTAACATTTTAAAAATCAAACCAAGCCACAAGTGAAAACCAACAACAATTCAAAAAGAGATGAGGTTGTTTTATTTTTTTTTAAAAAAAAGGAAAACAAATTAACAAGGGTTAAAAAGACGTGGTTATTGCATTAATCAGCAAGTCAAGCCGCCAATGCAGATACCGCTGCTGTGTTTTTCCCACATTTTCGTGCTCCCTCTATATAGAATAAAAAAAGAGTCCAATTTAGAAAATCAAAATCGATAAATTAGATAATTTAATCTTTTAACTGACCATGAATACGAAAAACTACATAAAATATAATGTATATTTATCCAATTTATGATAATCTATAGTATTATACTAAGAGAGAAACCAGAGAGAGGGAATCAAACTTCTCCTCACGTTGACACATAGGACAAAATCCTACGTGTCATTTTCCTATTGGTGGGCATAAAAAAAATTTACAACTATTGCAATAAAGGTCCTCTGAATTTCCAGAAAAGTAATAGTTACTTCATTACACAATTAATGTATAATGATAAAATGTTGTGGTCAAATTGGTAAATAAAATCGGTGATAGGAAATTCCTTAAAAGGGATCAAAATTGATTCCGATCAAAATAAATTCCATTTTCGGTGATTATCAATTAGCATTAAATGTAATCTTAAATTGTAGTTGCTGGATGATTAGCATTAAATGTAATCTTAAATTGTAGTTGCTGGATGATGTGGTTACCAAAATGCTTATTAGTGTTGATGTGTTTGTATGATTTTGATTTTTGTGGGAAGGATCTACATTGAATAGCATTGAACTTGATTATTTTAATTTTGAATTAAGGGAAAATTTATAGATGGAATTGCACGATTTTTGTCATTTTCCCGTAAATGAAGCGTCATTCAATTTCAATTAAAAAAACGGAGAAGATTGCGGATCAATGTAGGATAATTTTTTGTTTTTTTTTTCTTTTGGAAACTAATTTAATATTATTAATTGCTGTTATTTTTAAAAATATTTTAATTATCCGAGTGGAACCTCAGAAATCCTAAAGCTTCGGGTGTATTACCCTTTAATTTCGATTGATCTAGGCCGAATATATGACCCAATTTGTAATAAAAAATTAATATTTAGCCACCAGCTTTGTTGAGAATGGCATTCTTTTAATGTTTTGTGTTTGTGTGATCATGAATAGATGGAAAAGAAATATTACGAAATCAAATTTGGTAAGGTGATTTGGTCACATAAAAACCACATCGGAAAGTTATGAATGCAATTATTAGTTAAAAATTGTAACTTAGCCATTTGTTTAGCTCGATTTTTAATGATCAAAACCATATATTCAAGATAATAGGTATACTAATAATTACACAAATCCTAGCGACACAATTAATGGATAGCCAAGTGACTCAGAACGATACAAACCCGTACCCGTAATTGCATGGTCATATACGTGGATACTATTCGTTCTGTTTTTTTATGGGGAAGTATGGTTATGTTCGCATTCAGTTTGTGCTATCATGACGCAATTAATGGATAAAAAATCACAAAAAATCACTTAATCCCATAATCGTGGCAGATTTTATTACTATGCAAATGTGGGAATGGTATATATATACTCTTCAAACCCATAACAAAACCCACAACCACAAAAGAAGACAGACACTCAATCCTTCCTTTTATCGCTACGAACAATCTCAAACACCTCAATCCATGTCAACCTGCAACAACGTTGTTGATTTCATAAAAGACTTGACCCCCATGGTTGTCAAGTCTGACTGGAAAGTAAATGTTCGAATCCTCTACGTATGGACAACAACTTTTGGGGTGCACTCATCCGTCGAAGCTTTACTTATGGATGAAGAGGTAACTACTAAATTTTATAGTTTATAGAACTTTTGTGAATTGATGTTTTGTTTATAGATTTTTTACCCCGATTCCCAATGATTAAAATTAATTTTTTCTTCATATGTATATTGGCAGGGTAGTAAAATTCAGACTTCTGTCTACAAAAAACTCATGTGGAAATTTCAAAAATTTCTTGAAGATGGAGAGGGAGAAACCAGAAAAATCACCAATTTTGATTTGGCTGAAAATACGGGAAATTACAAGTCTAACAAGCATCCCTACAAAATTGCTTTCATGCGCAACACAAGGGTGGAACCATGTACCAATGAGTCCATCCCGAAACATTCATTTGAATTCGTCCCTTTCGGTTACATACATGACATGAATCCTATTAAGAATGATTATCTCATAGGTATGTATGGAAAAAAAAATTAAAACGAAGCCCTATTGCCATTTCACATTCATTTTGCATAATCTGTTTATTGTTGAATGTAGATGTCATTGGTGAGATTGTAAGGGGGACGAAAATGAAGGATGAAATGGGTAGCAAGATTTTAGACATCGAGCTAGAAGATTTGGAGTGAGCAAACCACATTTTAACTTATATTATAGGATTGTTTATATTCTAATGTTACTGATTAATTTGTTGTTATTTTTTTTAATATTTTTTTCAGAAAGAACATACTCCAAGTGACCCTCTGGAATGAGCTTGCAGTAAAAGTGAGAAACTACATGGATAATAAAACCGGACGTGTACTTTTTGCGTTGAAATTTGGCATTATTAAAGAGTTTAATGGTAATTCATCAATAACTACTACATACACAATCTTTATTTGTTATTTTCTATTATTATTAACATAAAGGGAACTCAACAATATTTTATTCTGACAACTTATACAGGAAAACGGTATGTACAAAATGCCAAATTTGGTGGAAAAGTTTTCCTTGATCTTGACATTGATGTGTTCAACTCTTACCGACAAAGGTATGCATTATATGCCATACCTTATTTAAATCGTTTTATAAACTATACATTATTAATATTATTTACCAATTTGGCCAAATGACTGTTAGGATGCTTGATGTTGATGGTTTGGGGAACGATTCAAATCGTATTACCCAAATGGATTCCCAGACAACAATCACAAAACGTGATGCTTTTCTCAATGGTTTCCAGCGAATGAACCTTTCCGAAATTGCATTAGTTGAAGAGGTAATTCATTTTTTTCCAAAGTGTCACAACTGAAATGGTTTAGGTGGTATTGTTTCAACCTTTACGACATGACTTTATATATGCAAGTCTAAATTTTTCAGAATACAACATGTGTTGTACTTGCAACAATAGCATGCATCAAACAAAATGGAGATTGGTCCTATATAGGATGCAAAAAATGTCACAGAAGGGCTGAAAGGGCAACCAGTTACCAATCATCAGGAAAGCATGATACTGATTCTGAAATTAGTCAAGACACAGGTGTGTACACAGGGTTTAAATGCGCCCAATGCAAAAATGAGCGTGCCGCTGTTTCACCAATGTAAGTTATCCCATGTATGTGTGTGTGTGTGTGTGTGTGTATATATATATATATATACCTATAGTATTAAGAACCTAAACCTTTAGCTATTTTACACTGTATGAATCTAAAATATTCTTTCAATTTATAGGTTTAAGATTAATGTTCGGGTTATCGATTCCACCGGATGTGCCACGTTTCTCTTATGGGATAATGATGTCAAGCATTTGATTCATAGGACAACACTAGAATTAAGGAGAAAACAAGCTGAGATGAAAACTGAGTTAACGTATTATTTGAGAATCCTTGATTAGGTTTTGTAACTTCAATAGTGTCCTAAATTTGGCATCGAAAATGCAGAGTACACAAGAAGACGACGCTTACCCGATTGAAATCAATGCAATGCTTAATAAACAGTGTCTGTTCAAGCTTGATATCTCGTCGAGCAATAATCCTAACTTACCATCTGATATAAAGGTCGCAAAGATGACTAATGACCCGGACATAATCAGTGAGTTCTTGGCCATCCATAGACAAGACATGGTAATGATAGAAAATCAAAATAATTGCTTTTTCATGTCATATATAATGCTGAAAATTTATGATTTACATTTCGTCAAACATTTGTATCCAAAGTTACGCTATTAAATTAATATTTTATTAAACTAACACGTACAGGGAGGTGGGTCTGATATGACAACTACTCCAGCGAGGAATAACACAAGAGTTACCGAAGAATCTAAGGTATTAAACATTATTATCATTGCAATGTATTATTTACAATTTTTCATAATCATTCCTTTTTCATCCTCTCTATGTAGAATATTGCATCTCAATCAGGAGATTCTGAACAAGTTAATGAAGAATTGGTCACTACTGCAAGTAGTCCAATTAGCAAAGCAAAGATGAAAAATCTTGATACTCCACCTTCAACTGTTCAATCAGCAAATACCCGCAAAAGGAAGATGGTGTTGGATGATGATGAGTAGTCGGAAAAGAATGGAGATCCTGGCATATTTATCCTGTTTTTTTTTTTTTGCACAATAAAACATTGAGGATTCCTGGACATATCATTGTTCACAAGTGGATTAACGTTTTGTCATAGTTGTTTTAAATTATGGGTAACTTACCCCAATCCCTTATTCGAGCAAACAACATTGTCTACATTCATTCTTACGTACTTGAATCATAATATCTACAATCTTCGCGGTGGTTTTCAAACCATCAATTTTTCAAATACCAGTGCTTTGATATGTCCTTCATTCTACCAACCGTTGACACTTAATTCTCCACTAGGTGCTGTAACAAATGGTACGTTTGCATCTGTTCCACACACATATCTAATTCCCCATTTACAAAGTGAATACCAAAATAATATAAATTACATACATTCAAATCTAATACATTGAATGTATAGTATATTTCAATAAACAATTATATCGTTGTATTAACGATATGATTTAAAATCCACAGGAGGCATAGTACCTTCTAAGCCTGCAACAAATAAATCAAACAAGCGGAAAGCACCAACATTGGGAACACAATCAGATGATGTATCAAGACGTTTTTGTGGCGCAGGAGCAAATTTGGACTCAAACTCACAAACCAGTAAGAAGCCCCGATCTAAAAAGAACAAAGACAGATTCAGTAAACTGGAATCATCACCAGGTATTAAACATTTTCTAAATGGTCAATGTACATTTTAGACATGTCAAATACAAACCAAATGTAGATTGCATAATTGTATCCCATAATTATAATTGTAATGTTATATGCAGATTATTATGATGTTGGTGATCCAGAATTTGTCTGTGAATTTTGCGGTGCTAGCATGTGGTATGAAGAAAGATCTAGGGGCGATAGACAATCAGTTCAACCAAAGTTTTCGTTGTGTTGCATGAAAGGGAAAGTTCAATTGCCTACACTAACAGAACCACCTAAATTTCTAAAGAATCTGATCCTTGGTAAACACCGTCTGTCGAAAAATTTCATAGAAAATATTCGGGCATATAACATGATGTTCTCCTTCACTAGCATGGGAGGTAAGATTGATAATACTATAAAAAATGGTCGCGACCCTTATTGTTACAGAATGCATGGTCAAAACTACCATAGGATTGGCAGTCTTCTTCCAAATTCTGGAACGGAACCGAAGTTCTCACAGCTGTACATATATGATACTTGGAATGAAATAAACAACAGGATGTCTGCTTACAGGTATAAAAATATACTATTTGCCAAATTTAATTTGTTGTACCCTATGTGTATATCATTCACATTATCAAATTATATTATGCCAGCATTATATGCAACAATGTTTGTACTAATTCAAGTCACGTGTATTATTAGTTCAAAATCAAGAAGGTCAAGATCTGCAAACTTTGATACAACACTGGTAAAGGGATTAACAAAAGTGGTAGATGATCATAACCAATTGGCAAAGAGTTTTAGACACGCAAGGGATACTATCAACTCAAACAGTGAGCAACAAGTTAGGTTGGTCATCATTGGAACAAGAAAAAAAGATGGAAGGCAGTACAACATGCCTGAAGCTTCCGAAATAGCAGCATTAATCATTGGTGATGGCAGTGTGGAATCTGACTATAGAGACATCGTCATCCAATACAAGTCAGGCGAATTGAAACGTATCAATGAGCTACATCCATCTTACATTCCGCTGCAATATCCACTCTTATTTCCATATGGTGAAGATGGTTACCACCTCGGCATTTTATTAAAGGACAAGCCTTTAACCTTCATAGATGCTGAAAATAAAAAGAGAATACGTTTGAGCATTAGAGAGTGGTTTGCTTACCGATTGCAAGAAAGAGACAAAGAATTTTCAATGATTTTGCATGCAAGGCAGTTGCTTCAACAATTTGTAGTTGATGGATATAGCATAGTTGAATCAGAACGGCTGCATTATGTCAAGAAGAAGCAGGACAATCTTAGATGTGAATCCTACCGGGCCATACTAAATGCATCAAATGGAGGCATAACTGATGCATCATCCTTAGGCAAACGTGTAATTTTACCATCATCATTTACGGGTGGTTCAAGATACATGATGCAAAACTACCAGGATGCAATGGCTCTATGTAAAGCTTACGGATATCCAGACTTTTTTATAACTTTCACATGCAATTCAAAATGGCCGGAAATCACCAGGTACTGCAACAAGAGAGGCTTCAAGCCTGAAGACAGATTGGACGTTGTTTGCAGGATTTTCGCAATGAAATTGGAAATGTTCATAAAAGATCTCAAGGATGAAGAATTGTTTGGCAGAGTACAAGGAGGTAAGTATTAAAAACATTATGTTTCATTTAATTAAGTTATATAATATAACGAAACTACTTTTATGATGGAACCCAATATTACACATTAAACCTTTTCCTTTACATGCAGTTGTTTATACTGTTGAATACCAAAAAAGGGGCTTACCTCATGCACATGTATGTTTGTTCTTACACCCCGATGATAAGGTGAAGACAGGCGAGGATATTGACAGATTTATATGTGCTGAGATTCCAGACCCTAATGAAGACCCTGAGCTATATGAGCTGGTTAATGAGTTTATGATTCACGGACCTTGTGGTCATGCAAATAAAAATAGCCCCTGCATGGTGGATAACAAATGTTCAAAGCACTTCCCTAAAAGTTTCATTGAACGAACAATGGTCGATGGAGATGGCTATGCAAAGTACAGAAGAAGGGAAAATGGGCACACAATTGACAAAAACAAAATCACCGTAGACAACAGGTTATAAATACAAATACATTTTTTTTAGGATTATTAATTCATGCACAATTAAATACAGTAAAAAAAACATTTCTAATATGTTTACTCATTACAGATTCGTTGTTGGTTACAACAAGTACCTATTGAAGAAATGGCGTGCACACATTAATGTCGAATGGTGTAATCAGTCCCGATCAATCAAATACCTGTTCAAATACATTAACAAGGGGTCAGACAGAATCAGCTTCGGAGTTTGTAAATTTGGGGAGGAGGAGAAAATTATAAATAAACCAATTGATGAGATCCAAGATTATTATAGTTGCAGGTACCTATCTGCTTGCGAGGCTGTGTGGAGAATTTTTCAATTTGATATACACTACAGGAATCCTTCTGTTGAAAGATTACCTTTCCATCTTCCTGATGATCAGAGTGTCTTATATGATGAAGATGAGTCCCTTGAAGATATCATATCCAAACCTTCAAGTAACTACACAAAGTTTTTATCGTGGTTGAATTGTAATACTGTGTACGAAGATGCCAGGCAACTGACATATGTAGAGTTCCCATCAAAATTTGTTTGGCATCAAGACGTGAAAGAATGGCAGCCAAGGAAAAGAGGGAGATCAATTGGCAGAATACACCATGTCCCTCCATCTTCAGTGGAACTTTACTACCTGCGTATGTTGTTGAATCATGTTAGAGGGCCACAGTGTTACGAGGATATTAGAACAGTAGATGGTAAAGTCCATGATACATTCAAAAGTGCCTGTGATGCAATGGGACTACTTGATGATGATAGCGAATTCATAGACGGGATAATAGAAGCGAGCATATGGGGATTTCCAAGCTATTTGAGGAATATGTTTGCTAGGCTCCTAATGACTGAGAGGCTAACCAAACCTGAAGCTGTTTGGGAAGCAACATGGAAACAGCTATCTGAAGATATTGAAGACATGCAGAGGAGAATTTACAATGAAACAGGTGTATATTAATACATTCCATTTTACAAATTCCATAATAATTCATTACCTTTTTATTTATTTATTTATTTTAAATAACCACAAATTTATAACATCAAATTATGCACTACTATTACTGTCAGACACGTGGACGCTCCCAGATGAAGCAAAGAAAATGTATGCTTTGGTTGAGATTGATCGGATAATGCGCCGAAATGGTAGTAGTCTAAAAAATTTTGAAACCATCCCATATCCAGAAGAACATATAGAAGAAGAAGACTACAACAAGTTAATACATGATGAGCTTCAATATGATGTACCGCATTTGACTTCAGAACATGATGAGCTCTACAATAAATTAACCAATGAGCAGAAAGAAGTCTATGATCGTATAATGAATGCAGTAACAGGTAATGAAGGAGGAGTTTTCTTCCTTTACGGATATGGTGGTACTGGTAAAACATTCATTTGGAGAACTGTATCTGCAGCTATCAGAAGTAAAGGTGAGATCGTGCTTACTGTTGCATCAAGTGGAATAGCTTCTTTACTTTTATCCGGAGGGAGAACTGCTCATTCAAGGTTTCTGATACCTATTGTTGTCAATGAAGACTCCACATGTGCCATTAAACCCAATAGCGAACTGGCTGAATTGTTAAAAAGAACTAAATTGATTATTTGGGATGAGGCGCCTATGGTCCATAGGCACTGTTTTGAGGCTTTGGACAAAAGTTTAAAGGATATTCTCCGTTCATCTAATCCAGAAAACTCAGAAGTGCCATTTGGAGGAAAAGTTATGGTGTTGGGTGGAGATTTTCGTCAAATTCTGCCAGTTGTTCAGAAAGGATCAAGGCAGGACATTGTTGATGCCGCTATAAAATCGTCCTACTTGTGGCATCATTGCGAAGTGCTGAAACTGACAGTTAACATGCGACTACAAAGAGATGGTACAAATGAAAACATGGACAATGTGAGAGAATTTGCTGAATGGATCCTAAAAGTAGGTGAGGGTAAAATTGCTGAGCCAAATGATGGGATAGCTGATATTGAGATTCTAGATGATCTTATCATACGACCTACAGGTTATAAATTCCATCCAAATTTACATTTTTCTAATACAACATACACCATGCTTATATTATTTTGTATTTTAAACTTTCACATTGCTAAACCTTACAGGTGATCCGATTGATGCAATTGTGAACTCTACATTCCCAAATTTTCTTCAAAATTTGGGCAATCATGATTACCTAGGTCAAAGAGCCATTCTTGCTCCTACACATGAAGATGTCGA